AAAGGGAGGACTTTTCTGGCTGAGATCTTACAGTCTTGTGCCTTGGAGAGTGGAAAAATAAATTTCCATTCCAAGCTAATATCGGCAAAGAAAAGGCAGGGAGGCTGGGAACAATGGTGGGCTGAAGCCAGCTCTTACTGGCTCAAGTCAACCGCGTCCATCTCCTCCAATCCTGCCTTGAGGGGGCGTCACACTGCTAGCTTGACATGGGCCATGGCGGGAGCATTAACATCAGCTAAATCAGAAAATGCTATAAATCGGGATTCCCCCCCCCCCCCCACACACACACACTAAATAGCTCATTGTTAAACACTTGCCAATGATTGGAAACAGAGATGGAGGTGAGCGTGGGAGCTGTGGGAAGCCTGACATCCTCCCCTCCCCTTCCCCCTGCCCCAAAGGATCCTGTCTCTGTACTTCCTGTAGGGCAAAGGAGGCACACTCCAATGTACATGGCTGGGCAATGGCGGACACACAGACACAGGGGCAGTTGAGTTGTGCCTGTATATCTAAGCTAACTGCTTTTCAACACTACTTAGGTACAGTGGCTGGCTGAGCCCAGGTTGCAGGCAACCTGGCTGAGCAGGGGAAAGGAGGGCAAGACCTTGATTGCTATAAGGCAGTAATATCCACTCCCAAGTCTAGATTGGAGGGTCATACTCCAACAAGATCTAACACGTTGGTAAAATGAAAGAGATAGAAATCATACCAGTATCATAAGGGAGTTGTATTGCCAGACAAACATCAATCTAGGCAAATAATGGCCCGTGAGTGCTCACACCTGAAGACAATTTCCAGTGATGCCAACAGGAAGTGCAATAAGCTGTCCATCTTCCAGAAGGACTCCCTTCCCAGTGCTCCTTTCTCATGAGAAAGTGGGATGGTGGGTGAGGAAATCTCCCAGGAGCAGGATATCCCTTCACTGTCAGGTCAGGCAGTCCAAGTTCCAGGGACACCTTGAATTGTCACTTCTGAGTGTTGTCTCTCCTTTTCTAAGTAGGCACCTTTATGGAAGCTAACATGTTTATGCTATCTATTGTGTATCGGATGGCTAGCCTTTGGGTCCTGAGCCATGAGGAGCTACCCCAGAGGGTGCTAAAGGCTATGGATATGGCTGTTAATCAGATAGATTGGTCGGGGAAGAACTAAAGAAAGGGTGACAGTGAGCTGTGGCGATATGGCAGCTGAGGCAAGAACGTGCCTTGCATGTGTAAAAACAGTGAGGAGGACAGTATGGCTGAAGCACACAGAAGGGGTAGGGGGAGATGAGGCCAGAGAAGAGTGAGAGCCAGATTACATAAAACCATTGTAATGACTCCTACTCAGAGTACCACTGGGCCCTGGATAGATTTTGAGCTCTGGCTGCTGTTGGAGAAAAACAGACAGTTGGGGACAAAGGTCAAAATGGGGAAACAAAGGGGAACTATGGAAGTAGATGATGATGACTTTGATAAAGTTGATGGTGGTCAAGGTGGTGAAAAGTAATCAAATCCTGGGTTTATTTTGAAAGTAGAGTTGACAGAGTTTGCTGATTCCAACATTCTTGGCTTGGAGCTGGGTGTTAACAGTTGGGCAGGGCTCTGGACTGTCTCCTCCTGGGAAAGGGGAGTGCAGTTTGGTGTGGGACCGCAACATTATGTCGGGAAGGTGCTTGGACATTGCATGTCTAGAAAATAGAATGTGTGTTGATATGGAGCAGCTAAGGGGTGGAATGGAGCGGGTGGCTATTGGTTTAGCCTATTCATCATCCATGCCTTCTTCTTATGATACCAAACTCTTTTATTTAGGGACTGCTCTCTGCTCCTGGCTCCCAGGGTGAGCATGTGATCCGGAAATGGCCAACGTGCTGCACGTTCTGGACACAGTGTTTGCTTAGGGAAAGGAATGTGATATGGGAATGTGATATCACCTGGGCCAGTGATATGCCTCGCTGGGAGTTTTTGCTAGAATTATTGGGGAAGAGTCAAGTTTTTCTTCAGAGGTTGCAGATGGAAAGGTCTTCCAGAGTAATCTTGCCACCACATGGGGAGAGACTGTCTGAGAACTCACAGAAGGAAGCAGAGCCAAGAGGAGGAGAGATGGTATCCCGATGACACCGTTTGAGTGCCTGAATCCAACTGCATCTCTGGGCTTCCTGTTCAGTAGATGAAAATGCTCTCCTTTCTCTTTCCTATACACTAATTTGCGTTGGATTTCTATCACCAGCAACCAGAGCTGATATCCAGTGTATTGAAATCTTTTTGTACTGAATTGTATTATAGAACTGTATCTATAATTGTACTGTAGATAGCTGCTACCTCAAGTGTTCCCCATGCCACTCAGCTGCCCTGGTTCCTCCTTTGGGACTTTCCTTTAGATTTCTGAAAATTCTAACAACTTCATTAGTACCTAGTGCATCCAGGGGGCCTCCAGAAGCCTGCTTTAGCAATATAGTCGGTCCCGGTTGGTGCCCTGTTCTAGGCAGGTTGTTCAACATTTTAATATCACCTGTGATACCATCCACAAAAATTCAGAGAGATGCAAAACTTTGTCCCCACTGTGATCATATTCTACTCACTCCCCACTCCCTGCCATACTCGCTTCAAAATCATTTGGCTAAATTTCCTCAAGCTCTTCACCCACTCACACATCTTCTGTGTCTATTGCAGTTGCTATTCCTTTCTCTAGAATTTCCTTTTCTGTTACTCTGTGTTGAACTTCTCTTTTTCCAACTCAGCTCAGGGAACCAAGTCCAAGACAGAAATGCCACAAGTCAGAGTGCAGATAGTAACTACTTCTATGAAGAGGGAGGAGAATCTAAGCTAAGCCATTAAATTTTTTAAATTGTGAGACATACACACAGAAAAGCACATTAGATATATATGTTTAGCTCAACCCATAGTTGTGAAGACAGCGTTCATAAAGAGAACCACCAAGGTGAGGAATCGGAACATTGCCAAAGACCCAGGCATAAATGCTGCTTTCCCTTAGTGGTAGCCTGTTCCCCAACTTTTATGGTAACCATTCCCTACTTTTCTTTATGCATCCTTAAACAACATATTTAATTTTGTCTGTCTTTGAGCTTCATGAAATCATATAGTATATATAGTCTTGTGTCTGGATTCTTTCACTCAATGTTATGTGTCTAAGAATCATCTATAGACTTCTATAAGGCTACATCTATCCATTCTCATTACTGCATAAAATTACATTAAAGAATGTATCATAATTGAATTTATCCTGCTGCTGATGGATATTAGGTTGTTTCTAATTTAGGTTCATTATGAGCAATGTTGATAAGAAACCGTGTACATGTCTCCTAGAGCATGTGTGTATGAATTTCTCTAGGTTTCATACCTAAAGGTGGAAAACTGGAGTCATAGGAATATGTGTCTTCAACAGTTCTAGTCAAGTTACACTGTTTTTCAAAGTGGCTGTGCCAATGCATGCAGTCCAGCAGTGTATTGGAGTTCCTGTTGCTCTGCCTTTGCCCATACTTCACAATTGTTAGACTCTCCAAGTTTTGCAAATGTAAGGTGGACCATATAAGTTGCATCAGCAGATGGAAGGTGGTCCATGTGAGGTGAACCAGCTCTAGTCTTGTAATTGTATAAATGGGAAATTGTACAAAGTGATCAAATGTATATCAATGAATTGACTTGATCCTTGTCATTACTGCAGGGCATTAATAGAATAGAAGAATTAATAGAAGATCTAAGACACTTTATGTTCAATGTTGTCATACAAAATCCTTGCTCTCCTTCATCTTAAGACCTGCCATGTCCCTATGGCCTGAATATTCTCTCTGATAACTTTTACTCCATTTGCTGCCTAAATTCAATGACTCTTTTGGGGCTTAATTCCCAATATCTCTTGTGCTTAGATGAGTGCCTGTCATATGATAGGTACTTAATAACATTTGTAGGTTGAACTAAAGAAAATGTTGGCCATAGCTTTTATCTGCCAGATCATCTTAAGATTCTCAGAATATCTCTTTTCTTTTGATTATACTAATTATGAAGTCCTTGCCCAAGTAGAACATGAAAACCTTCCTCCTTAAAGTCTATCTGTGAGATTTGGTGGAACAGGCTCTAAAATATATCCCAAAACTGCCAGCTTCAGAAGAGTGTTTTCCTCCTCTAAACTGACAGGCACCTCTGCATTCTACAACATGAAATGCAAGGGACCAGAGAGAGTGTCCCTTCTGTCCTCACTCCCACCAATTTTACAAGTGGGGAAATTAAAGTTCAGAGGTGAGAGAGGTTGGCCCAGGCCAGCTGGGCAGTCAATCAGTGGAGAAGTCAGGATTAGAGTAAACTCTCAGGACAGTGCTCCTTCTCCCCTATCCCACCCCCAAGCCTCAAGCTCAAACTTCAAAATATCAGAAACCCTGGAAGTGAAGAAATGATTTATGACACATCAGCATCACATACTTTAAAAAATGATGCTTTAAGATATAACATTGGTCTTGACATACCTTTAAAAATATTAATTATTTTAATGGCTATCTCAAAGAACTTTGATGACATAGAGCACAGGAGTTACCCTGGGCTGGAGCGGTTGTCTGCAGTTCTCAACATGCAGCCATGCAAAATCCTAAATAACATTGTCAGTCTCTATGTGGTGTTTCACAGAGGACTACCTTGAACCTTCAGCAACATCCTTGCTGTAGGTCTTTGGAAGTTCTGGTCCTGAGAAGTTTGCTCAATGGATGGAAGCTCTGGTCACGATTGGAATAAAAGGACCAGAGATAATTTCTGGAAAGTGAAGGAATCCATCGTCTGACATTAAAATTCAAAAGGAGAGTTGCAGTAAAGATGTGACTTCTGGCTTCTGACTCTTGTTAGTGAATGGGAGCTTCTCCAAAGGCAGGTACCAACTGCATTTCCTTGCCCAGCTCTCACATTGTGTTCGGTGACATGCATTGGTGAGGTGGAAGCTGGGTGCCACTTGTAGTTGGAAAGAGTTATCACAGAGCAGCAGGACACATCAGAACTGGGCGTGTCCATGCTGGAGTATCCTCACTTGGGTGCAGCGGTAGTGGCTTCCTTACTGGTAGCTTCACCTTCATTTTGTATTGAGCTAGATGTGCTCATGTTGACTTGATCACTGAGGCCTCTAGTGACACTGTCATAGGATGGTGGGAAAGATGTGGCAGATGCAGTTTCAGATTTGTCTGGAAACACACACTTCTCATTTTCCATGAATGCATCATCTGTGAGTGACACAGCCTCCTCCTCAGCCCTGGGCACGCCTGGGGGTTTGGAAATTGTCCAGGAGCGATGCAGCACATAGCTACGATAGGCCTTTTGAATGACAGTGGCTGAAATGTCTTCTTGCTTCCACCGGAGGGTGGTGGCTATTGGTTCATAAGATGCTTTTGAAAGATTAGTTGCCATAAACTTCTCCTCCATGTTTGCCTTCAGAGAATCCAACTCCCCAGATTCTCCCAGAACATTCTTGGTGAAGGCAAAAAGGATGTCCAAACAGTGGATCTTATCTCCAGGGACCAGTGGCAGGTCCATCCGGATTAATATATTCTGATTGGGTTTTGGGATTCGCAAGGGGCCAGAGAGTGTGTCTGCAAAGTCTGAGAGGGCAGAAAAGGTTATAAACTGGGTGGCCTCGGGGTCAAACTTCTCCCAAGTCTCATAGAACATGTCAAAGTCATCCTCGCTCAGGGGCTCCGTGCTCTCCTCCGTGGCCACATTGAAGTTCTCCAGAATCACTGCTATGTACATGTTGACCACGATGAGGAAGGAGATGATGATGTAGGTGGTGAAGAAGATGATGCCCACGGCTGGGTTTCCACAGTTCCCCCGGGAGCCATTGCTGTTGGGCAGATTGGGGTCACAGTAGGGGGGCCCCGTGTTGAGGATGGGGCTGAGGAGACCGTCCCAGCCGGCCGACGTGGTGATCTGGAAGAGGCACAGCATGCTGTTGGCGAAGGTCTGGAAATTGAACATATCGTCGATGCCAGCTTCCCACTTGACATTGGGGAAGGTGGCCATGCCGAAGATGGAGTAGATGAACATGACGAGGAAGAGCAGCAGCCCGATGTTGAAGAGGGCAGGCAGGGACATCATGAGGGCAAAGAGCAGCGTGCGGATCCCCTTGGCCGCTCGGATCAGCCTGAGTATGCGGCCGATTCGGGCCAGGCGGATGACTCGGAAGAGCGTTGGGGAGAAGTAACTTTCAAGGGACGTAAGAATTGCAGAAAACACCAGGCCTTTCAAAGAGAGAGGAAATGATCTAATTAGTACTCCCAACCATGAGCCCTGACAGAGTTGGCTGTGATCACACTCCCTTATCTTGGCTCCAGATGAACCTCCACATGAGCAGCTGTATTTAAGGACTCTGAACCCTCTGAGCCTGGCACAGGGGGTGGCATAGAGTAGGGGTTCAGTAAGTGTTCATTGCATAAATCTCTCTCTCTCGAGTAAGTCTCACCTTTCCCACCATGTTCTTGTTTTTCCCTCTACCCAGAATATTTTCTTAGTCAACCTCCATGGTCAAACCCTATCTTCTGCAGCATAGTTCAGTTGGAAGGGATTGCTCCATATTCCACATGCACACAGTCCTTTGTCTGTTTCTGTTTATGACACAGACTCTGCTGTTCCCTGAAAATTTAGCCTTTGGGTCATGCCTTTTCCTCTACCCTGGTCCTGTTCTCTGTGAAGGCCAGGACCCCCCTGTGATTCATCTCCCTATCTCCTACTGAGAAGACTGACTAAGTTTCTGGCACATGGTCCTGCGGATAATTGTACAGAGCCTGGAATTAATTATAAGGGGGCCTGAGGAGTTTGGCAACTTGCTGACAGCTATAGCAGAATGGCTTTGAATGACCAGCTGTCTGCATAATGGTTTTTATTTGTTTCTTTCCTTTCCAGCTGAGTTTGAACTCCCTGTTAGGGCCTGGAGATGGGGGGTCAGTTACAGCCTCCCACCCCAACGAGGAACAAGGCTGGAAAGATGAAGATGTCTCCCTATCTGGTAACTAACTTGAAGATTTGTAAAGCCTGATTTTGGGGACCCATGGGGCCTATTGGGACTACCAAAGATTATGCAAGGCCGTTAGGTAAGACATGATTCAAAATCTCTTAGGACAAATGGTGAGGTGTGTGGTAGCAAGTTCTCCCACCTTGCCAGGGTTCCCTCTTCTCCTACTTGCCTTTCATCATATGAACATGGGTAGTCACAATACATGTTAGAAGGAGGAAGAAAATGGGAGGAGACTTGGGAAATAATTATATATTTTTTATTATAAAGCCTTAATGAAAGCCCCTCTCCTAAAATCCACTTTAACTGGGACATTTTCCCATAGCATGGGGTACATTATATATCTGTATAATTTCCTAAGATTCTGCCAGCCAACTGGTCTACCTCTACTTTAAGGGAGAATGAGTGTTCATACCTGTAACATTTAGATACTTAATACATGTCTTGCTGGTGGGGAGGAAGACAGGAAGAGGGAGGGAGAGCAGAAGGACTGACAGGTAAAATCTGTCTTTCACTTATTTTCTAGCTGTCTCTCTGAGTGATTTCTGCCCAGTGACTGGTGTTGCCATGCAGGTCATAGGAACTGGTAATTACAGTATCCACCCACATTACAGAATTGAGTATTTAAGTATATTTTATTTCTATAATGCTGATATGAGAAGTCATATAAGCAAGCTGCCTTCTCTAATATAAAATCAAAATGGACTTTAGAATCTGTCACTTTGGAAGACAAATAAAACAAACCTCCCATAAAACCTAGTAGCAACAAGAAAATAAAACAAAATGAAAAACAAAAATACATTAAACTCCCCTCCCCCTCAAACAACCAAACACAACTCAGAGCTGTATTTCAGCACCAGGGTAGGGAGACTGGTTAAGTGCTGCCAAGTTGTACTTAGATACTATTAGCCTTTGACGGTAAATCAATGGAAAATTAAATCTACAACTATGCCCTCACGCAAAAAGTAAACAGGTCATAGTATAATAGGTCAGAATGATTTTATAATGCAATACAAAGTTCGTGTGCTGGGATTTGGACTTCATAGGGCCACACTTTGGCTCAACCACACAAAGGCCAGGGATAGTCTCTTGGTTGTTGGTGAGAAACTGCTAGTTCATTAGGACATTATCCTGGTCTAAATTCAGCTCCACCATTTTACCAACTGTATAATTTTGCATAACTTTCTTAATCTCTGAGGCTCAATGTTCAATGTATGAAATAAGGATAATAATATGCCTTTCACAGGGCTACTGTGAAGATTCATAAAGCCCAGCCTAGTGCTCAGAACTCAGCAAGCAGTCAATTATGGTGGCTCCATTTTCCACTTTAGCCTCTCATTCTATTCATTTTCTCTGAACACCTTTGGCCCCACAATACTGCGCCTGTCATTCAACAATACCCAGACTAGACCATAATAGCACTGATCTCTTCACATTGATCCCTTGACTTTTCTATCATCATATTCCTTAAGTGGAGAGTTATATAGAGATTTCATTCCAGACCCTTGACTTAAGAATCTCCTTTGAACAATCTCCTCCTTGACTTTCCTCACTCAGTTGGCAACCCACCTCCTTTTCCAAAAACTATTTTATGACTCACTTCACATCACACCACCCACTCTCTGATTTGAAGATCATAAAAATAAGGCCCCCTGGAAACTCCGTCTCTCTGTAGGAACAATAGTTCCCTCTCAGCCCCCAAAGTTCTGGTGATGGCTGTGTTGCAGTAGGTGCCTGAAGACAGAGCATGGAGCAGGCCAATGGAACCTCTCCATGTGCCTGAGAGGCCCAGGGCCATTTTAAATCCTCTGCCCTTGGAAGGCAGCAAATACTGGGCTCCTCTAACATATAATGTATTTCAAAATTTTGTTGGTTGTCCCCTTGGTTACAGCTAAAACAACCCCAAGCAGAGGCTGGGCTTCCCCACCACATGTGATACCCACTTACTCCCAATGGAGAGGATGACAACAATGAAGTCAAACACATTCCAGCCATTGGTGAAGAAGTACTGCCTCAAGGCGAACATCTTCATGACACACTCGCCCGTGAAGACGGCCACAAAGAACTGGTTGATTCTGTTAAGGACTTTTGTCTTTTCTGCACTCTGATCATCCGTCTCCACCATCATGGTGATCATGTTGAGGCAGATGAGGACCATGATGATGATGTCAAAAGTTTGTTTGGTCACGATGTCAAAGACGAAGCCCTGGTACTTGTTCTGAAAAATCAAGAGATAATATGTCAGGGCCTTTTGGCCAAGATAAACCAGGCATCTGGAGAGGCTGTGTTCTCCATGGATGGGTTTTTGAAGTCTCCCTCTTTTGTCTCCCTCACACTCCACATCCAAACAGAAGCCAGGCCCTGTCCAAAATCTCATTCTTAGTTAATTCTACCTCATCGCTTCAATTCAAGTCCTCATTGCCTCTCCTGGGCCCATAAAGTCACCAGGCACTTTGTCCTTGACCATGTTCTTCCCTCCATTTGCCATGCCCTTCCAGCCTGTCTCTTGGCTACCTAAATCCTAATAGTCTTGAGTGATCCATCTTAAGCCCTACTTCCTCCAGAGAGTTTTCCTTAATCATATTATACCACATCATTCTGCCCCTTCTTTGTGTTCCCACATCCTTTACAGTCAGTCTCCAGTTCTAACATTTCATGTATGCTTCTCTTCTTCTCTACTAGACAATGAGCCTAATATAGAGGCCATATCTGATTTAACTTTGTGTTCCTTTGGTGCCTTGCACAGAGCAAGAGTTCAAGAACTGCTTGCAAAATTATTGATTCAAAGGTAAAGTTAGTGTGATGGTGCAACTTATTCCTGCAAATGTTCTCTTTACTCCTGGGGCTGTGCAGATGTTTAAGCAAATGCATGGGGTCAGGTCTTGATTGTTTGCATTCTTGGAAAGAGGCAGAATGTCCTGGATAACAAAGAGATCATCTATACTTGGATTTTTTTTTTTAAAAAAGCTCCTACTATGGCCCTCTAGTGTTCCCTGAGCTGTTAACATCATACTGTTCTGGGACTGCTTGATCTGAATTCCATTCTCCACCCCTGACCTTCTCCTGAACCCTTCTCCTGAGGCCTGTGGAGCTCACCTGCCTTGATCTGCAAACACCTCCTCTTGTTCAGTGGCTGCCAATTTTTTCCCCACCCCATGTACTCCAGGGCTAGGAGGCAGACCTGAGATCCTTCTTGTCTCCACTGTCACTTCTAGACATTTGCTCCTCCTGTGTCTGGTAAAGTCCTTCCTCCTTAAAGCTCGTGTCATCTAGCTAGTTCACCTTCACCTTGTCACAATTGCTGCCATTTACCAACCTCCTGGTCCCTCTGCTTCACTACTGATGAGTGAAGCTCTTGGCCACACTTGACCACTCTTGGCTATTATGTCTTGGATCCTTAGCTAAATATCCAATGACCTAGTTTTTTTCTAATTTAAAGAAAAATCTCCCTGAACCTCACTGTATTCTCTCTCCATTTTCACAGCAAAATTTCTTGAAAGAGTTGTGTGCAATCAATGTTTCTCATTCACTCCTCAATCCACTCCAACATAGTTCTTATTCCTGTCCTGCCACTGAAATGGTTCTTTCTAATCATCAGTGACCTCTGTAATGCTAACTCTAGGACACTTTTTTGGCATTGCTTACCAACCCTTTCTTGCTTTTCATCATGCCTTATTTTCCTGGTTCATTTCTTGACCTTCTGGATGTTCTACTTGAGCCTTCTTTACTCAACCTTTAGGTGTGAGAGTTCCTCAAGTCTTAGTCCTAGGTACCCTTTGCTTTTCACCCCATTCTTTCTCCCCTGGCAACCTCTTAAGCCTGTGAATTATTATGTGTGTGGTTTTGGCTGATTATTTTCCTGAGTCACTGGACTACATTCTCTGTGAGGGCAGGAGCTTTGTCTTTCTCACTTACTGCTCTATTTCCAGTATCTGCACATTACCTGGCACATGACAGATGTTCATACATAGATGAATGAATGGATGACAGAAAAGATATCTTTGTTACCCACACCTTCAATAAAATCATAAAGCCACTTCATTAGGGTTTCATTAAATTTGATTCTGCACAACAGGCACTTAATACATGTGTACTATGTGCAGGGCTCTGCATGAGTGGCTGTGAGGGAGGAAGAGAGGAAGCTCTTAGGAGTCTCACCGGGGAGCTCCCAGGAGCTGCAAAGCAAGCAGAAACAAGAAGGGCTGTGACAGAGGCTGCTTCCTACTTTCCTCTTCGGGGTGGGGATGAGTTGCTACCCTAGTGGGTTAGAGCAAAGAATCAAACCCAAGTAGGCCTGGGTCCAGCACACTGCTGGCTCAGATCTTTTCTGGAGTGGGAGGGGTATTGCTGAGCCAACAACAGCCCCCATTTCATCACTGAAAATGTCGAAGAAAAAAAACCCCACAGAGCCCATTCATGGTCACGTAACTTCTAATTAAATGGAACAGGCGAGAACATTGCTAAGTTCCAGGCATCAAGTTTGCTCTGGATATTCGGGTGCTGGGGAATGCAGCAGCTTGCTGGCTGCTTTTGGCTTAGTCTGTGGGCAGGGATCACACCTTTGCAACCCTCGGTGCTCTCAGAGATGATGAAGTAGGTGACTGATGGTGTGATATTATAGAGCCTATTATTTTCCTATAAAGTGGAGTATGTGAAACCTGCTTTTAGTGGTTTTCCTAGCAAAGAATGTTATAGAATAAAATCTCTCAGTCTCATGGAAACCTTCATCTTTGTTATGGTTGAAGCATAAGGTTTAGAACCTGGGCTTCACCAGAGATGGTGGGTGGCATGCATGTGCGTGTGTGGGAGGTCCATATGTCATCCAGGTTGGCTATGCTATGTATGACCTTGTACCCGTGCAGCTGTGGGGTGGAACGGTGGTGCCAATGCTCTGTGTGTCTGCCCAGCTGGACTTGTGGGGATTCCTATGGGAAGAAGGTGAGCATTCTAGTGCTAATCATCTGTTGCCAAGGAAGCTAGACCTGGGAAGGTGGGTCTTATATGCCAGAGGGAATTTCTCTTTTGCTTTGGGTTTCTTTCCTGGTTCTGGACTTTGAGGAGGACAGGTGACCAGGCTTGTGCCACTGGGTGGTGAACACAAAGATGTTCCCTGCCAGATGGATGCCAGCCAGGAGCTGGGATGGGCCAAGGCCTCTGGCCCCTGGATGGAGGGCAGCCATATGCACTTGCTGCTGAGACCCTGCAAAGTCTTATTTGAATGTCCCAGCTTTGCCTCAGTTATGCTGAGGGGAACCAAGGAAAGAGTACTTGCCATTCTTGGGTGAGAATACTAAGGAGAGAGCCATGCTCCTACACTAAACCTGGTATAGTATTGATAGTTAATTAGTGATCCCTTCTCCCCTCACCACTCCCTGCCCTACCCTGAGGGGTGGTGAATCTCAGGAACACAGCTGGGCTATGGTCTCACTTCCCTTATCCATGTGAAGAACCTCCCCCTACTGCCAACCTTGGATGATCTTGGTTGTGGCTTAATAAAATGATAATTTTGTTGCAAGTCTTCCTGCCCAACCATCACCTTCCAACCCTATTGTAGTACCTGGAGTCCCAGCATTAGGTTCCTACCTTTGTGTTAAGATAGTGTTCTCGCCCTGGCTGGCATAGCTCAGACTGAGTGCGGGCTGCAAACCAAAGCATCACAGGTTCGATTCCCAGCCAGGGCACATGCCTGGGTTGCAGGCCATGGCCCCCAGCAACCGCACATTGATGTTTCTCTCTCTCTCTCTTTCTCCCTCCCTTCCCTCTCTAAAAATAAATAAATAAATCTTAAAAAAAAGGATAGTGTTCTCTCCACGGTCCCTTTTTGGCATGCAGCCCACCCTGTCCCAGGGAAATCGTCCTCCTTCAGAGGAGGAAGCTAGAGTGGCCTGGGGGATTGGCTGATGAGAAGGGAGAGGCTGAGATGTTATTGAGAAACTGAGTAATTTGTAGGGGAAGGTTCTAGAAACCATCATGATTTTTCCAGGGGTGGTCCTTAGCATATAACTTGTTGGTGTCTGGGTCAAATGTGGACCCAACATCAGTCCAGCCCCCACTGAAGGTCAGTTGCTTGTTTCTCAGTCAGTCTGAGGATTCTCCTCCCGCAGCCCTACCTTAACTTTGATTGGCTGGGTTCAGCCTTTCACCTATATATTCTAATTTTGAGCCCATTCCTGTCCACTGACCTGGTTGACAGGGGTACTCAATGGGCTCTGAGCACTTTCTCTCAGGTTCATCCAAGCCCAGTCATAGCGATCTTAGGGGGGATTTGGGAGGAAACTCTGCCCCTGCAATGGTCTGGACATCCCATTACTCCCCATTGTAACACTTCTCATCAGAATAGAGAACACTAATACATTTATGAGCAGTGTTTCCAAGCAAAGTGTGTCAAAGGTCACCACACTCTTTTCCTCCATAAATGTTTTTAAAGATTCTGTGCTCATACATATTTTAGTAACTTACGCAAATCCCATGCCTTGATTTAGACATCCTAATGTATGTCTTTCTAGTTCATTTAGGGAAAGGCCTGACTCTTTGTTGAAGGTCCTTAGGCTCTGCCCTTGTGTGGGGAAGGGCTACTGGGATCATGCCATGGGCAGTGCCTGTAGTTTTCTTCATAAATGTTGCATCATCACCACAGAAAGGTTTTATAAAGGGACAAGGTGCCAATTCTATTCACTGGAGTAGATGGCTCAGAAAATCTTTGAAGAGATTCAGTTGTACATTCTAACACAGCAACATCCCCACTCCCAGACCCGTTCCTCAGCCTCCATCAGGGGCCAGCCAGGGGCCTGGTGCATCTTCTGGCTGACGCCTGAGAAGAACTTAGATGAGAAATTTCGTGTATGCTTCAGATGATGCATTGGACAGGAGGATGAAAGGGCCTGTCTCTTAGGGTCTTTGCAGATAAAGGAATCAAAGTGGAGTACGGCTTTACGTTTTGGTCAACCTTTAAATGCTAGAGTGGGATAATTTTTGGTTTCTGTTGTGCCCCTGATCATGATCTTCACCAGCCCAGGATCCAAGGTGGGTTGGGTTTGGGCCATTTCCTCTCTGTCCAGCTGAAATCTAGGCTAAGGCTAGAGATCCGTTACAACATAGATTATAACGCATAATCACACAAATGTTTCATCTCTGGGCTCTAATCCCCCTTACTATCACTTAACCTAGTCTACTCTCAGTCCTGTGTTTGAACCCTAAAACTGTACTTCCCTAAGTAGTTCTATCTGGAATAACTACAGAAGATGTGTTCACGCCGTAAGTTGCTTTTTTCAGACTTCTCATTCCAAGGACCTGGGAATCCTCATTAGCTTCATCCCTAAACTCAACCCAAACCCCCTCCTCCACAGAGGGCACTGCCCAGGCCCCTACTCAGTACAAACATAGGCCATCAGGTTAGATTCACAGACACACCCTGCTAGAGAGCTCTGGGGCTCACCAGGGGCCGAGGGATAGGCTTCTGCGGCTTCTTGGAGCCCAGCTTCTTCATGGCGTTGTAGTATTTCTTCTGTTCCTCTGTCATGAAGATGTCCTGGCCCCCTAAGTGCAGGAGAGGATAACACACAACACTGTTATTAAACCAACAGGAACCCCCAGGGATACCAAAGTTATGCTGGAGGGGAAAGACATCTCAATTTCCTTGTCTTTCTGCAGAAAGGCACACCAAAGTTAAGCTGTGTGCTGCCCAGGTGCCACAACCAGGGGCAGAGAGGATGGGACTGAGCCCCAGCCCTGACCCACTCACTGCCTGGGTCTCTGGAACAAAGCCTGGTTCTTGTCTCCAGGAACCCAGAGATCCTGCATGGATGAAGGTGGGGAGCATTTGGGAACAGGACCCAAGGAGAAGGTACAGGTTGGTTCAAACCTGAGCCTTGAATCCAGCCTGCTCATGCCAGTCAAATCCACTGGTTTCTAGAATCATACTCCCTGCCCGGGGCCAGGGCTTCCCTCAGGGCCTTCAGGAACAAAGACCCTGGGACCCCCCCCCGCCCCAGCCCCTTCCTGGAGAGGAGGAGTTGAGGCCAGTTACTGCCTTATCCCAGGGTCCTTGGAGAACCCTTGGTTGGTTCTCTGAAGGCCCTGCCAGCTGCACCTCCCTGTGCTGTTGCAGTGCTGGGAATCCCACCACTGAAGATTCCTGCCTGCCTTAGGATTGGCTATTAGTTTTCTTTTAAACCTCCTTCCTTTAACTCCTTGCCTTTCACGGCCTGACATCATTTTAAAGCCTCCCATTTCAAGAGCATGTTTGCGTACATTAGTCCCTGCAAATGCTGGGGAAACGGGCTGAGATCCGTGGGTTTTGGGAAGAGATCTTGGAAACTTTACAGACACAGAGGACTTCCTGGGAGGATTGGTGTGTCCTGGGTGGGGCCACACTGAGATGTCTGGACAAAGAGTCAGCAAATAATAGAGTTTCTCGCCCCGGCTTGACTGCTGGCTGACCTCACTCTATTCTCTGACATGGCCATCTCCATGCCTGGGCTGGGTTCCGAGGCTGTAAGGAGAGAGCACTGTGCAGATGATTGCAAAGCTCCTGAGGCACCGAGGACACTGAGCAGCGCTCCACAGCTGTCTTGCTGAGTCCCTTTAGGGCTCCCACAGCCCTGTCTTGCCCCTTCTCATCCTCAGAACCCCTGCCAAAGACTTCCTGCAGGTGGGATGCCTGCCCCACTAGATATATATTCTAAATTGTAACAGCGACACTTTTCCTCTAGTGTCCATTGTGCGCTCAGCCCTAAACATGGTGCTTTTTGTACAGAATTTTATTTACCTCTCCCCAAAATCATGCAAACAGGTATCATTAACCTCATGGAAAGGATGAGGAAACCAAGGCTCAGAGAGGTTTAAAAAATTACCAGGGTCAGCCATCCAGCAAGTGGTTGAGCTGGGAAAGCAGATCCAGGCTTGAAGGGTGTTAATACCAATGCTGTGCTCTCTGATCTGTGCCATGATTTCTCCACGGGACCCACCCCCATTTTTCTCTGGACTTTGGTTTGCACAAATCTAAATGGTGCCCTATCTACCTCAGGGGTCTGGAGGGTATTAAATGAAAGAGTAGTATGAATACTTTTATATGTTTAATAAAAACACAAGAGGTTGTCTGGGATTGGGCTCCCATTCACCAGAGTCAGTGCCCATGGAGGCAGGTTGGGATTCTGCCAACACGGGCATTCTGGCCCTTCCTGAGGCCTCCTGACTCAGTGCTCTGGACGTCAGGACTCCAGACAGAGGCAGCGCTGGAGCCCTTTCTTTCCTTGTCGATTTCCCCAAGGGGTCACCTGGGACACATCCAACACAGCTGGTTCCAGCTAGGAGGATCATGGCACTCTGGGAGAGAAGATGGGGATCCCAGGCAAGGTTGGCAGGGCAATACTGACACAGAGAAATGCAACTCTTTCTACAGCAGCCCCGACAGCAAACAGGTGAGGACTGAAACCAGAGGGCAAAGGTTGATGTTGGTATTAAAGGTCAAAACTGGCCTCCTGGTCAGTCACGAAGGGCTGTGACTAGTGTTGGTTTTAGTTATGAGGCCAGGGGACACTACAGAAACACCCGAACCCCACTTATCTTTTTTTTCTGTTGATTAAAGTTGTCAATTATGACCCCAACGAAGAGATTGAGTGTGAAGAAGCCGCCAAAAATGATGAAGACGACGAAGTACAAGTACATGTACTTGCTGCTCTCCCACTTGGGCTGCAAGGTCACCTGTGAGCAGACAAGGTGGGGCACAGGGAGGAGGGGGTGTCTTAGTTTTTGTTTACCCCGAAAGCCAACCTTGAGACAAGGACCTGGGTGCAAGTGGTTTATTTGGGAGGCAATCCTTGGAAGTAGGAGTGAAGGAAGGGGAGGGGTAAGCAGGAACAGGAGAAAAGTAATCACTGTGGGCAATTGGGACTCCATCCTGAGGGGGCTGCCTAAGGAACCGTGTAAAACACATCTCAGGACTTGACCTCCGAGGGACAGGGAAACTAGAGTATTTATCCAGAGACCCCCAAAACTTATCTGTGAGGGTTGCCCTTGGGGACATGAAACCCCTCACCCTTGAGGGAGGGGCTGCTGAGCCAGCTCTGAAGCATGGAAGAAAGCCAGGTTTCAGAGGATAGCAAGTGAACTCAGAGGTGGACCAAGAAGATGGCAGGGCATGGGCAGTGTCAACCACAGTGGTAATGATAAGGCATGGGTCTTGTCTCATCATTCTCCTCCACCTGGCTGCCATAACAGCACTTGAAATTCCATCTCATCCCTTTGTTCTAGCCCCCACCCCTGCCCAGGGAGTGCCCTCAGCCACAGTTCTTTATCTATTACTTTCTTAGAGCAGAAGAAGAGCTTCAGAAGCCTGAGGAAGGTACATGGGGGGAGAGCAGGCTATCCTCAGCTTAAATAGCTAACAGTGAGCCAGCTTGCCACTGCTCCAGAGAGGGACAGTGCCAGGCTGCTGGGTGGTACCAAGGCCACCTTCACTCCAATTCAATTGGACTGATGTGGGCAGGACACCCGGAAGGGAAGCCAGTAGACACGGTGGTCTGAGACTCACCCCTCGGGCATCAACGGCAGCATACATGATGTCCATCCAGCCTTTAAAGGTTGCCTAGAAACAAGGAGCAGAAGTCACTCAGTCTCTGTCCATCCATCTACACTGGGCTCTGTTTTGATTTACTTATTTGTTTTTCTATTCGAGCATTGGCTCCCCTGGAGCCAGTTCTGACATGGCTCTGTATCTCCCAGGGCAGAGCACAATGTTTGGCTCACCATAGCTACTCAGGGATTGTGTGTCAGATGAATTTGTGAACAAATAGTGGAATGCAGGGACTCGCTGGTAACTGCGTGACAAATGTATAAGCAATTACATTAACACTTGAATGGATGGAGCACTGAATGAAAAAGTGGGTTAAGGCAAGGGATGCAGAAGGAAGGAAGGAAGGAAGGAAGGAAGGAAAGAAGGAAGGAGGGAAGATATGAGTGCAGTTGACTGTCATCATCACCAGCATTATGTATCACCACAACCTGGAACATAATTTATTACTCTCTAGGGGTAATTTGCAGAAGACTGAACATGTGGCTCTACTGTATTTATTTTGTACAAGTAGTGAATTTTATCTCATTACCTGATATGATCCCATAGCAGGCTCATTCCTTTATTCTAGTCTATTTCCCACATTGGTCAAATTATACCACTGGGAGATCACACTCATTGGTAAGGCCCTCTGGCCTCATGCTTAGACCGAATGTTACCCCCTACATAGCATCTTCTGAAAGACCCTAGTCCCTCCATGTTACAGAGCAGCTAAAGGACTCACCACCTGTAGAAGTGCGAGGTAACCCATTGCAACATTATCAAAGTTGACCTTCGTGTTGACCCAATACAACTTGCCAGTGTAGTTTTGAAGTGTACAGTCAGATTCGTTATTCACAACAGTAGAAGACGCAAGAGAAAAGCCTGCATTGGTGGTGTTGATGCACCTCCAAAATGTCCCTGAAAAGAAGTTCATGCCCATGATGCTGAAGATGAGCCAGAAGATGAGGCAGACGAGCAGCACGTTCATGATGGACGGGATGGCGCCCACCAGGGCATCCACCACCACCTGAGGGGAAATGCAAAAGGACCTGGAACCCCACCAATGCTCCACCCCTCTTGGCTGGATCCAACTGCTTCCTACACTCACTCAGGCTGCTGCATGAGCCAGTGGCCTTTGGAAACCAGAGAAGTGGGTCTGCATTAAGCGGACTCAGAAGACTGAGAGACACTGAAAGGCTGCAGGTCGGTTTAAACCTTCTCTAAACTTCCTTCAGGGCAACTTTCAGGATCTTCCCTCGAGACTGAGGAGGCGGGTGAGTTTATAAGTACACACATGCTCATTTAAGTGTATGGGGTATACATAGTGCTAGCACATACAGACTTCTAGCAACTCACTTTATTTTCCTTAAATACAGGACACTGACATGGTGTATAGAATGCTTTGGTTAGGAATCAGTGACAATCTGCCCTGGCTGGTATAGCTCAGAGGATTGAGTGTGGGCTGTGAACCAAAGGGTTGCCAGTTCGATTCCTAGTCCAGGAATCAGAGCTCAGGGTCAGGGGTATGGAGGGCATAAAGTGGGGAGGGCTACCAAATGTTACAGACCAGAGCAATTTGGAGACAGGTCTTACCCGCATGCCTTCAAATCGAGATAGAGCCCGCAGCGGCCGCAGGGCGCGGAGGGTCCGAAGGGCTTTGATGGGTGCTATATCAGAATACTTCAGGATCTTGGCTATGAGGCTTGTCAGAGAGATCTGAGGGCAAGCAGAGAGCAAAAGCATCACTCCAGGGCTCCAAAGGGGCGGTCCTGGTGGAAGGATGCAGGAAATCCCTCCCGACCCTACTCTACCCAAGCCATTGTCCTGACTCCCACGTTATTCTGGATCCCAGTGAGAGTTCTGGAGAGGGTCCTCTCCTTTTATTAAAGACTCCATTCATCACGCACGTGAAACTCTGCAAAAGAAAAACCCAGTCTCCCACATTGCCAGCCCATGGTATGTAGGTGGCCAAGCTCCCAAAATATCGAATCCACCTTCCCATCCCATTCTAGGGGTACCAATTGGGCCCAAACATCCTTGAAACTTTGACTTTCAGAGATTTGGAATGGTGATGTCTCTTCATAAGGGTTATGTCAAATTTCATTTTGGAAATATAAGGTTAGTTCCATTATATTTGCTCAGAAAAGCAAGATGGAAAGTGTCCTGGTCTGAGTGGGATCTAGTTCTCCCTTGACCCCTGATTGTTTTTTGATCTTGAGTCAGTGCCTTATTAATCCAGGTTGAACTTTCACCTTTGTAAAATGAGAGTCAGACTAAGAGAACTCTAACGCCCTATGGGTATGTTCTTCAGTCAAAGGAATGGGCATGTGTCCATGAGATCCAGTGTTGAAAGACAGCTGAGCCATAATGGCTGAGTTCTGAGTCTTTGTTGGTCTGTTAGTTTTTCAAAGGATTGCAAAGTACACCAAATGACATGGAAAAATGACACCTTCCAGAAACTCTGAAGGTGCTGGGGATATACCCTATGTGTAGGCTTGAGCGACTGCGAACCAATGCTAGGAGACCCCAGCTCTACCATGACTGGTGGGCTGAACTCAGGCTTAGCTAATCCGGGCAGCAAGGTGGGGATGTACATTGGAACTTCAGAAGAGGAGGGTTTTATACTTGAGTTCTAGTACCTCAAAAGATGCCTGTGCTCAGGTGGCATATTCCACCAGGATAAAGAACTGTCATGAAAAGGAACCCCTTCCTCCATCCATGAGAAGCTCCAGACACCAGCAGGTGGCACCCAACTGCATGGCTGACAGAGGGCAGGGAGGTCTGAGGCCAGTTCCACACTGGGCCCTATTTAGTATTTTGCTCAGCACCCTAGGAAGGGTGACTCATGTGCACCATCTGCAGCTGGGTCTGGGGCCTCTCCATCAGAGCCCATCTACCCAAGCCCAGCTCCATTCCCACCACTCAGGCGACTTAGCTTCTCTGGTCTCTGGGCTCCAGTATTGTACCCATCTCATCCTTTCTCTACTGCAAATCTGATTACGATCATGTCTCTCTCTGACTCCAAATCTGCACTGGTGCTTAGGATAAGCTCCATACCCCTTAGCCGGTATGACAGCCACAGCCCACTTTTCCCATCATATTTCACCCATATTTTCTACCCAAATAAAATTGTTCCCTAACTGCAGCTGTGTCTGTGCCTTTGCTCAGGTCATTTTTAATTAAGATCACCTCCCCCACAGTCCTCTTGGCATCTCAGTGTTCCTGTCCATTTGAAGCCCTCTACTTAATGCCACCTCTTAAATAAAGACTCCTTAACCACACACCGCCCTGGGTGGAAGCAAGCTCATGTCTCTGTGTCCATAAAATACTAATTATTTCCAGCAGTGCTCACTATGTACCCCCTTATAATATGTTTGTTTCTCCCGGTGTGTCTTATTTGCTAGAATATTGAAGCATAATCTCCTGGAGACAGGGATTTTTAATTTATTGGCTTTTATCTATCCAACAGCAATTTCTAAGTCAATCCTATATTCAATAGTTATAAATAAATGTTTGATGAATTGAAGAAAAGATAGAAGCATGTTGGGATGAATGGCAGTAAGGAAGAATAGCTGGATGGAAAGTTGAGGATGATTGTATAGAAAAATGGATTAAAGGATGCAAAGATGAATAGTATTGATAGTTGAAAGGAAGGATGGAAGAAAGAAAGCAAAGAAGAAGAAAAATAATATGGAGTAGTAGATGGATGGGATGGATGGATGGAGGAAGGATAATGACTGGATAAAATAACTCATGGATGAATGGAAAGGTGGAGAGTTGGACAGAATAGGTAAATAAGAGAGACTAGCGAATGGAAGGAAGGTTGACTGGATGCATTAATGGGTGGATGGATGGATAAATGGATGGATGAATGAGGGATAAATCGACAGATAGGTGGAAAAAAGGATCGATGGGCTGGCTAAATGAAGAATAGAAAGATAGAAGAATGGATGGATAGAAGGATATTGGCATAGGAGGGGCATGAATGAGTAAAATGAAGGTTACATGATTGAATAATTGGAAGGATGGATCAAAAGATAGGAAGACAGAAGGACTGAGGACCAGTGGGTAGATGGATGGAAGGAAGGTTAAGAGGAATGGATGGGCAGAGCGGAAGAAGAAAGAATTTTGAGAATGGGTGGATGGAAGGAGAGAATTGGTGGAGAGAATAAATGGAAGCAGTCAATGTGAGTGGATGTTTTGAAGGAAGAAAACAGAAAGGATGATGGTTGGACAGATGGAAGGAGAGATGTATAGAAGAAAGGATGGATGGTCAGATGATCACATTTAAAGCAATCAAGACTGAAGCTAGTGAACCTTCTTAGGTTGGAGTGACTGTGCTCCTAGGTTGGAGTGACTGTGCAACCTAAAGGTTAGGTAGCCAACCTAAAACATTTTCCATTCATCTATGAATAATTATTTCATATGCACAAAATCAGCACCTGTGACTCAGATTTCAGGCCTTACAGCTAATCGCTGTGGTAGAGTGGCCTGATGCTGCTAGCGCACTGGTATCAGGAAAGAAGAGAACTGAGTGCCCAGACCTGCTATGGAGGACCTGCCAACACGGGAGGTGGACAGAATGTTCTGTACTGGACCCTATCCAGCTTCAGGAGGCAAGCACCAAATACAGACACATTTCCTGACACCTCTGATGAGCAGAACTTGGTGCTGGTGGCTGTTGAAGTAGGGGAGGCAGAGACAAACACAACACGTGTCTCCCCCTGCCTGCAGGGCCCCTAAGCCATGCACCAGTGCACAAACAACACAGGCATCCATCTTGCAGAGCCAAGAGGGCAAAGGCCTGGACAGAGATAGAGAATTGTAGTGGTTAAGATAAGGGAGAGATCACTCCTAGCTTTGAGTGGGTAGGAAGGCTCTTAGGAGACTTTATGGAGGATGATTTTCTCACAGCTTTGAGAAAACACAAGTCTAATGTGCAGGAGTCACTTGGTAAATTCTCTCATGTGGGGGTAGTGGCCACAGGTTAGTGTGAGTTGGACATACGAGCTTTAGCTCATCTGAAAAGGACCCTCTTTCTTGTTTAGTGCCACTAAGGAGAAGCCAGTGGTTAGTTAGCTCAGTGGCTCTCAATACTGGCTGCACGTTGGACATATCCAAGACTTTTACAAAATCCTGATGCCCACTGCCCTAACCCCACCTGTACCCTAGGACCAGGGAGATTAGAAGCTCTGGGAATAGTAGTGTTTGTTCATTGTATTTTTAAGAGATGCCCAGGTGCTACCAGAGCGTAGCCAGGGCTGAGGACCAAGCCAGCAGGTGGATAGGTTCTCTGTGCTGTGCTGTCCTCAGCTCCCTAAGTCCGGAGCCCTGTGCATGCATGCGGGGTCACAAGACCTTTGAGAGCCTCATGTGCCATCTTGCTTTAAGTGTAAAACACAGAGGATGGTAAGTGGTCTTTCTGGATGGAGGCCTAAGAACAGAGGACTCACCCGAGGGTCACCATGGTGCCCAAACCATGTACTGCCTGGATCTTACCATTCACAGGGGTGCAGGGATATCCTGAGACCCCTTGCTATGTGCTCAAGGCTTTTCCAGGGCATAGCCCTTGAGGACCAGGGCCCCGAGCTTTCTTGGGCAACAATAGCCATTTGTCAGAAGCGAGGCCCCCAGACCCCATGCGTGCCCACTAACTACTCACATTCACAATGAGGAAGTCGAGCCAGCACCAGGCATTGGTGAAATAGTTTTTGAAGCCATAGGCCACCCACTTGAGCAGCATCTCGAACACAAAGATAAAGGTGAACACCCTGTCGGTATATTCCAGCAAAGCCTTCACCGTGGGCTTCTGGTCAAGGTAATAGTCTTCGAAGATCTGGAAGGAAGGGAACAGAATGGCAGGCTGTCTGGAACCATAGCACTGGGGTCCAGTGGTGGGGAAGGACCCTGTCGGGCCTGCCCTCAGGCCCTGGGACGGTTCTGGTGACCAGCTTGCTGGTGTTGTTTTGAGTTCTCTGCTCTGGGGCCGTGGGGTAGTGGAGGGGACACTGGGAGACACAAACCAGGCCTTCCTGAGCCAGCGGGGACATGTGGGCCTGCTCATCCTTTGCAGGGGAGCTGAAGGCAAGGGAGAAAGGAAAACTTCTCCAATTGGATTTTGGAAGTGAACCAAAGGGATGCTTACTGTGATTTAAAAATAAAAGCTTCCAAGGGTGTTCATGGCAGGCAGTTCACTGAAATGACAGTAAGAATGGCCAATGAACCTCTGAAAAACAATGTTGTACCTCACTGGCAATCAAGGAAGTATAAATGAAAAGGAGATGCCATTTTTCTTTGATCAGCTTGGGGGAGATAAAAAAGAACAGGGAACCCCAGGGTCAGTTGTGTGTGGCTGTGGGGAAGAGGCTGGTTATTCTCCCCCAAGGCCCATGGGAAAGGAAAGTCAGTTCAGTCTTTTGGAAAGCCAACTTGGTAACATGTCTCCGAGGTTGTAGAAACCTAGTAATTCTGACTTAAGGACATTCTATGTCCTGGTGCCCCACCCAGATCCAGTTCAAGGGGCCAGTGGGCCCATCCCTCACCTGCTGTGAAGGTGGGCTGCTAATAGCTCCTGGATGTCCTCCTTTCCTGGAGATGTCCCTGGCTGAAGGAAATAGCCTCGCCCTTACGAGGTTATGTGCCCCCTGGGTGGGAGGAGGGGGACAGGTGGCGGGCAGCGCAAAGCCAGTAACTGACTGTAGATTTTAAAGGCCTCAAGTGGGCCACCTCTGTGGCACCTTTGGTGCTTGGGAACTCCTGTGGGATCAGGATGAGACTGGGCTTCATGGAAACCCTCATCTTTTCCTAGCTTGTTTCCCCGTTCTCTCCTGCTTCTCTCCCAGCTCCCCCTCAGCAGGCCCCCCAACAAACTGCACCAGAGTCCCTGCTTCTGGTTCTGCCTCTAAACCAGACCTAAGACATAATTCAAATGCATAATTCCATAGACTCTCCAGTGTTCATTAGAAGTGATCATGGAGCCCTGGCTGGTGTGGCTCCATGGACTGAGTGCCAGCTCTCAAATCAAAGGGTTGCCAGTTTGACTCCCAGTCAGGGCACATGCCTGGGTTGCAGGCCAGGTCCTCAGTAGGGGGCGCTCAAGAGGCAACCACACATTGATGTTTCTCTCCCTCTCTTGTCTCCCTCCCTTCCCCTCTCTGAAAAAAATAAAATAAATAAAATCTTAAAAAAAAAGAAGTGACCATAGAGATGACTTAGGTCAATAATGACACGTTCCTGGCATGGACAACCTGGCCACCAGTCCGGGAGACAGGAGGGGCATATTGGCTGAGAAATTACAAGATGCATAAGTGTGGTTTCAGTTTTGAAATGTGTGTGCATTACATGCCTAAGAAAGATGGGAAGGAAGGGCACCAAGTGTTTTCAAAGTGAGATTCTCTTTCAGTGATAGGAAAATGGGTGATATTTTTTCTTTGCATTTTCCCATAATTTCCAAGTGGGTTGTGCGTGTTTTTTTTTTTTTTTTGCACTTTACTTTGTCAGATGAAAACTCATATTATTTTTTCAAAAGTACTCAAAGTAAAAGCATAAGGAAGACTAAATTTGGTGCCAGCCTGTTCCGTCCCTTGGGGAAGGAGCCGGGGAGGTGAGTGGGGAGCTGCCGTTCTGTGCTCGGTGGGAGGAGCCGGGGTAGCTGGGGCGTGTGGAGAAGAGAACAGAGAGAGGGAAGGAGTGAGGGACAGTGGAGAGAGACCAGGAGAGAAGGTGCGTAGGAAAGACACGAGCCAAAGAGGTGGTGATAAAAGCACCTAGGCAACAGCAAATGTGGTTATTATTGTCACCAGGGAGGACAGAACGGAGCGGAGGGTCGATGTGGAAAAAGCACTGCCCAGCATCCCCTTGGCCTGCAATGCAGCCTCTGTACCCAGCCCTGGTCTGAGGCTGCTACTCCAGGGGGACAGTCACTGCCCTGTGCTGGGACAATGGGCACCTCCAGACCCTACCACACCTTCTTCCAAGACGGTGGACCAGCCCTACTTCCTGCTTCCAGGAAGCACTCCTCTGTCTGCTCGCAGGTGTCATTTTCCTCCCACCTTTCAGATCACGCCTTCTCATCTGCCGTGGCTCCTCCTTGAGGCTGAGGCCAGGCGCTAGTCTGTTTGGGCACCCTTCCTGGGAAACCTGGCATTTCAGTGGGTGCCCAGTCAGCAGACTGTTTTCAGGGGGGTGAATGCCACACGAGGAGCAAGACAAGTGAAAACACTTGGAGCTATGAGCCGGGAGAGTGGGGTTCTAGTCCCCCCTTTAACTCACTAGCTGGGCCCCTGAGCAGGGCCCTTCACGTCTTTGGACTGTGATTTTTCTCATCCTTAAAATACGGACAACTGGGGATGATGAGTCCCTTCCTGTGTGGACATCTACCTTGGTCCTTTGGGGAGATCAGTTGAGATTGTACAGTGACGTTAAGCCATGGTAGAGAGAGAAGCATTCTTCCCCGTCCTACAAAGCCGGGGACTCAGCTAAGGGCTTGGAAAACATCTCCTAACTCAGAGTCTCTTTCCCTGCAAGGCTTGGTTATTCGAAGTGTGGACCAGCACAGCCTCAGCCTCACCTGGGAGCTTGCTGGAAATGCAGATTCTCAGGCCCCGGCCCAGATCTACTGGATCAGGACCTGCACTTTAATAAGCTCCCCAGGCAATCACAGTTTGATAAGAGCTTTGAACACATAGGAGTAATATTTACAAGTGGCTCGACAAGACAAGGAAGGATGATCTTCTTTGTACTCGTCCTGCAGAAAAGGCCAGTGTGTTCGGGCATCCGAAGGTAGCAAGTCAGCGGCTTTGGGATCAAATGAGGGCAAAGTCAGGTTTTGCTACTGACAAGTTGCATAACCTTGGACAAGTCCCTTAAGCCCTCTGAGTGTCAGTGTCCCCGACTTTAAAGTGGGAGGCACACACTCACTGCTTGGAATACTTGCAGCCGGGTGTAGCAGGTCACGCCACGGACACCTCAAGCACCTGCCATGCCCTGCTGCTGAGAGGAGCCCACGGGCTGGGCCACAGACCTCCTTCCAGCCACAGGATGCAGACCTGCACCCCAGGAGTCAACGGACCCCACCAGCTCCAGGGCTCTTGGGTCATGGAGACCCATCTGGAGGCACCGGGGCAGGGACACTGCCTTCCCTTACCAGAGACCCGCTGCTGAGCAGGATCATGAAGATGATGAAGCTCTCAAACCAGCTGTGCTCCACGATGCGGTAGCAGGTCTTGCGCACCTGCCAGCCCACGTCCCATGGGAACTTGGCGGTATTCACTTTGCACCAGGGACAGCGGCGAATGCAGCCTGTGGGGGAGAGGTGGCTGATGGCGACTGACGTCCCACTGGGAAAGGAGGAGTATTTTTATCCCAGCCCTGCAGGGAGACCAGTCTGCTGGGAAACCCGCTCACCACCCTCTTTGGAAAAGAATTCTTTCCCCGGATATGAGAGAAGTGGGGTCCCTTACAGGCACCTCTCAGTCCTGCCCTCTGGTGTTGCTCCCTACCATCGGTCTTGCCTACTCTCATCTCCTCCCCGACCTTCTTCCTTCTCACAGATGATGCCGTGGTCCTTGTGCTTATGGCTGCCTGTCTCCCGAAGCCTGATGAGCCGTGTGGCCTGGGCCCAGTGGGGTCCGAGGGGCTACGCCCTGAGCCTGTGCTGACCTGAGGGGCCACCACCTGGCTGGGGTGGGACATGGGTGCAGCTTAGCCCATGGTCACATGGAGCTGGAAACTGAAAGAGTTTTCTTTTTTTAATGTTAATGTTTTTATTATTGAGGCCATAATTTCATAGTATATGTATTCATTTATTGCACGAATATCTATTGAGAACATGATGTGCCTCTTTGTTCTAGACATTGAGGAAAACAGAGCGTAAGATGCCGTCTCTGTCTTCAAATGCTACACAAAGGATTGGCCCTCCTCTGGGTTATTGATGTCCCAAACCAAGAGCATTTATGGTAGTGACTCCTTTCCCCTTCTCATCCTTAAGAGGGCTGATTTATAACTGAGTGCGGTGCTTTCCAGGGCGATGAGGTGCGCACCGCACCCCTCGGCCCCGCCTGACGTGGCCTGAGATGCAGACCCTGCCCCCGGGCCTGCAAGCTGTGGCAGGTGTGTCCCATGCCCCTCCTTCAAGCCTGGGAGTGAGGCAGCAAGGGACCCTGCCTCCTGCGGACCCCAGGCCACAGCCGGGAACACAGAGGCGCCCGGATGCCCGTTGAGATGGATTCTGGCCCTCATTAACGTCAGTCTGAGGAGGCCTGTGTCCCCCACTTTACCTTCGGTGAAGCAGTCATCTGGCTCCTCAAGGTCATCTGCCAGCTCAGGGATCTTCTTCAGGATCTCCTCAGGGTCCAGGAAGTCCACGGTGCTGCCTTCTGAGGGACTTCTGTCACCCGCTCCCTGCAGGGCACAAGTCTAGGGCCGTGAACTCAGCTCTCTGAGGGGCCCGGGGCAATCTGCCCTGTGGGTCCCTCCCCCGCCAAGAGCTCCGAGATGCAGGGGACGCCCCTCAGGGCTGGACCCACCATGGTGTCCCTTGCGTGTTTGGTACCTCGCCAGCTGAGGCCCCGACAGTGATGCCTTCTGTTAGCGATGCGAGGCTTTAAACCTCCAGGCCCCTGATGGAGTGCTGGCGATGGCCCGAGACACCGTAATTACACCCATAAAGACTCTGAGCGTTCACTGGGCTTGAATATTTAACCACGGAGCAATGCCGTAGGGGCGCGGCGGCCCTCCGGCAGCTCCAGCCCCGTAATGTCTCTCGGTGAATTCAATTAGGAGCTGAAGCTGCTCTCCTGTTAGTAAACCCGATAGCTCGGCTAATGGACCCAAATGGTGGGGTGTGCCCCCATCTGTCACTGTCAGGCTCCTCCCTGCCTGGCTAGAGTTGAGGACAAAACAAAAACAATACAAAACCAACGCCCACCAGCTGTGTCCTGAAAGCGGCAAGCAGAGAAAATCAGCCAGGGGAGCCCTTAGCAGCCCTGGTAGGAAATAGGATGTCCATGTGCAGAAGAAGGTGGCAACCCTCACCCAGCTGGAACCGAGTGGCTCGTGTTCCTCCAGGGACCCCAGATCCCAGGTCAGCCCACCCTCTTATCTTCCCCTGCTGTGGTCAGCCTCGCCCAGGGGCACACGGCCAGTAGCTGACATTCCTCGAGCTGAAGGACTTGATAACTTTGGGGATGAACAATGTCTTCCTTATCTTTGTCGAGCCCAGGGCCTGTCACAGTGTCAGCACTCAGCGGCTAGGTGTCGAGTGAAATTCCTGATTTTTAATACGGTGGTATTCAAGACGCCAAATCTTTACAGATACCTCTTTCCCCTGGAGCTTGGTTTCTTCCAAGAGTTGTGCGGAAACCACCAAGTGTATGTGCGCCTCTAGCAAGACATTCCTAAACCCTGATTCCTCTTCCTGCTCTGTCTGGGTGAGGCGGCTGTCAGGGGACGGCTCAGCACAGCCGGCCTCTCCAGAGCCCCAGAATGTGTGTGTGGCTGGAGAAACCCGTGTGGACAAAAGAGGGTGGAGGTGGGGAGTCAGCGGGAGGACAGCTTCACCCACGAGCGAGCGACTCTGACTTTTATCTGCTGGCTTTCCCTAACCTCCTCGGTGCATTTGTCTTTTGTCTCCTTGTCTCTCGGCTGTCACTTTCTGGGCACTTATTCCATTTCAGGGAAGAGCTAAACACTTGACAAGGAGCATCTCATTTAAACATCAAAAGAATCCTACCATGGTTACCATGCGGTTTTGCAGATGAAGACACGGAGGCTCGGAGAGGTTGAGGAACTGGTCCTGCACCCCCTCCCTCCACCCCCACTCCCTTGTGGAGCCTCACTCTTCCTGTGAAATTATGTTGAGTAGCCCAGGGTCTAGGAGGGGACTTGAAAAATCCCCAGGATGTGACACGAGGTTAGGAGGTTGAGTCCAGGCTGCAATGCCTTACCTCTCCGGGAAGCTCACATACCTACCTCTGCAGGGGCCTGAGCAGCTGCCTCGTCTCTCCGCTGCTCACCCAGGTATGGAGCCAGGTCCTCCGAGGATGATCCTGAGCCTGGGCACCTGGATGCCAGGTGGTCCTCTGACCTCCCGAGGTGCTGTGGCTGCTCCTGCTAGTGAGAGAAGATCCCAACTGAAATCTATCCACCTATCCACCCACCCACCCAGCATGAAGACCCTATCGCCTGATAGATCTGTTTAAGTCTTGGCTTGATTACTTATAAGCTGTGGGAACTTAGACAAGTTATTTAACTTCTCTGATCTTCACTTTTCCCAACTGCAAAATTGAGAAGGCTAGGTCTACTTTATTTGGTTATTTTATATTTTTAAAGATTTTATTTATTTATTTTTAGACAGAGGGGAAGGGAGGGAGAAAGAGAAGGAGAGAAACATCAATGTGGGGTTGTCTCTCACACCCCTCTACTGAGGACCTGGCTCACAACCCACGCATGTGCCCTGGCTGGGAATCGAACTGGCAACCCTTTGGTTTGCAGGCCCATGCTCAGTCCACTGAGCCACACCAGCCAGGGCTATTTAGTTATTTTGATGACTAAATATGATCCTGCTTATAAAACACTTTGAAGAAAGTGCTTGGCTCCACAGATATTAGACATGACCATTATTAATTGTCCAAAAGTCAGACCGGTAGTGAACTTGGCCATCTGGAGTCCTCCAAGGACCCCAAAGTAACGAAAAATGCTCTGAGTGGAGACAGCCATGGCACAGTTCATGTCCTTTACTCTGGGGATGGTGACGCCCTGCCCTTGGCTGTTACCCAGACAAAAGCATGTAAAATATAGCAGCTGATAGCAGCTGCTGGAACACAACAGAAGTGACAGCTGCAGGGGAAGAAGGCTATGGAAGAGCCACAGACTCAAAGCACAGCTGTCCAAGGCTATTTAGCGGGGTGGCCAGCAGCTCTGCCTGCCCCGGGCCCCACGGGGATCCTTGCCTTCCCATATTGTGCAGAAGAGCGTGCCACCAGTCATTGGGAAGAGGTTAATGAGGGTTGCTATATCTGCTTAAAGTAGTAGGGAACTGTGCAAAGTATTAAAAAAACATAGTAATCCCAAAAGGCTAAAATGCGCTTTAAATGCTTTGGTGCCAAAAGGAACAAGTGTCATTTCCCTGTAACATCCCTTGTCGAGAAGAGCTGGGTAAATGAGTCACGTAACGATCAGGACTCCTCAGGCTTCCGGTGAAGATTGGAGGAGACTTGCTCTTGGGCAGCACCCTGTTCCCAGAGGAGTCTCATTAGCAGCTCACGCACAGAGTCTGGGTTTGGCAGAGCGAATGGGGCAGCTGGGTGAAAGGTGGCCCCAGGCAAGGTCTGGGGCTCAGGGCTGCCCCTCTCCCTGCTTGGTTAGGGAATCCTGACCTTTCACAGGTGCTCAAGTGCTACTCCCTCCAGAGAGTCTGGCACGTCTTGAGCTCTCTTATGTCAAAGACTCTTTTGCCTGGCTTGCCTGGAGCTCTTCAGACCTGTGCCAGCCCTAATGTTGAAAAATCTCTGTATCATAATTTCCCCTCTGCTCTTGTTGCTCCCTCCTTAAGACCTCTACGTGCTTCCTGTGGTTGCCCAATGGGATAACTCTCACCTGCTCCTGGGGGAGCACTTCCTGCCGGGAGCTCTGAGCATCCTCCTCCTCCTCCTCCTCTTCCTCCTCCTCCAAGTCATCAAGGTCAGATTCACCCTCAGCAATGGGCACAGAGACCCATATGTTAGGATTAGTGATGAAGTCACTGTGGCTGTCCCTGGGGTCTCTGGAACCCGAAAGCCCTCCAGGGCTCTCTGTGGCCACATCAGCAGCAATGTGGTTCTCGGCTTTGGAGCTGGACAATGGGATCTTCACCACCATCTGGGGCTCTGGCTTGGTCCGGGGCAGCAGGCAGGGTCTGCAGAAGAAGCCTCGAAGGGCCTTCATAGTGCGATGGCCAAATGCCTGGATCCGCGCCAGGGCCACCTGCAGGTTGTTCATCTCCCCATCCTCCTCTGGGGCTGTGAGGTTGTCGGCGCTGAAGGAGTTCAGCAGCAGGGCGATGAACAGGTTGAGCATCTGGGGAGAAGTGGAAGGGAAGGTTGTTCAATCAATGAGCTGAGCCCCTCCATGGCCCCCCAGGAGGGCAGCTGGATGGCAGGATACCCGCACCTAGGCCTCTCCCCGCATCCCTGGGATGCTTTCTCTCTCAGGGGAGCAATCATCTGAGAGCAACCGAGGAGAGCCTTGGGGATGTTGTAAGTGACCTGCTCGTGCGGATAAGGCTGGCAAGCATGTTCTCCACTGCAGAGGAGGGTCACCCTGCTGAACCAAGGGACAATGAGGGACAATAGGGAGGAGTAGGCACGGGCCTGCCCAGGGACCACCTTCATCTACCAAAGCCCTGGGTTCTAGTCCTCACTCTGGAACCCTAGGCATGTCCCCTCACTGCTTCCCACTTCACGCTCTTCACCTGTACACAGGGAGTGGGGACTCCCTGCTTCTCAGAGTGGTACGAAGGGGAAATGACACAAGGGATGTAAAGTGCTCAGAGAGGCAACGCTCCTGCCTGTGGGCTTGGGCCTGTGGCTCTGCAGGGATGGAAGTCAGCCTGGAAGAAAGGAGGTTCAGCCAGCCCCCCACGCGGGAACGTGGGTGGAAGGCATCTCTGGCTCAGCGACCTGGGTGGGGAAGACTGTGAAGAGTCTGGATTTGTTGTTTCCTCCATTTTCTTGGTTTAGCTTTCTCCTGTCTGCAAAACCCTTATGGGAAAGAGTCTAAGTTGATTGGCTTCCACAGCAAGAAGAAAGGGGCTCCTGAAAGTCCACTACCCCCCTGCAGCCAGCCAGGGCTGGGAGACTCGGGGTGCTCAGAACTAGCACGGGCAGAGACAGGCTGAGGGTGAGGAGCCAGGCTGGGATGGAGGCGAGGTGCTGGGGCCGACTGGCAGGGAGGTCTCCAGAGAGGCTTCCCCCAAACCTAGGAGTGGACTGTGTCATTGCCACCATGGCATTGGATGTTTCCCATGATCCGGCGTCCCTAATCCCTCTTGTCCCCTTGTGCCTGCTCCCTGCTCCTAGCCTGGACCTGTGCAGCTTGGAGAAATCAGCCAGCTTCTGGCCTGGAGAACACTCCCCTGGAGAACAATATTTTCTGAAACTCCCTAGAGCAGCGAAGGAAATTTTTCCTTTAACAACTAACAGCTATCATTTATTGAGTTCCTGCCATAGCCCAGACACTGCACTAGGCAATTTGCATATGTCATCTCCTGTAATTTAATTCTCCCAGTAAGCCCATGAGTGAGCACTATTTTCTTGATTTTAAGGAAATAAGAGCTCAGGGAGATTGTCTTTTGTGCTGGGTCAGCCATCTTTCCGAGCAGTAGAGCCAGGTCTTTCTTTTCCATCATATGCTCTCATCCCCCCAAGTCAGGCAGCCTCCCAAGGGACAATGTTTTTTTAATCCTCACCTGAGGACATTTTTTTTTCATTGCTTTTAGAGAGAGAGGAAGGGAAAGAGGGACAGTGGAAGAGAGAGAGAGAGAGGGAGAGAGAGAGAGAGGGAGAGAGAAACACTGATTGGTTGCCTCTTTGTATGCACCCCAACTGGGGATCAAACCCACAACCTGGGTATGTGCCCTGACCAGGCATCAAACCCTGATGGGGAATCAAATCTGCAGCCTTTCAGTATATGGGATGATGCTCCAACCAACTGAGCCACACCAGCCAGGGCAAGGGACAGTTCTTATAATGTGACTTATAGATGACTTTCAATTGAAATGAAAAGTTCATTCAAATGAAAAGTTTGAATGCCTTTCAGTCTGGGAGATTCAATGTGGGCATACAAATGGGCAAAGTCAAAGCTTTTCACAATAACGTGGAAGTCTCCTCCGTGGCCCAGGAGACTGTCCCAGGGAAGGCTCTGTACTCACCACCAGGTTCCCCAGCACCATCACTGTCAAGAAGAGGACAAGGCATATGGATTTCTGGCCAACTTCCATGCAGGCCCACATGTTCTCAATCCACTCCCCACAGAGAATCCGGAAGATGATGAGGAAAGAGTGGAAGAAGTCCTCCATGTGCCAGCGAGGCATCTCGTCACCTGGCTGAATGATGCGCTCCCTATTTTTGCGGTAGCCTTCCTCGAGGAGCTGCATGCCAACCAGAGCGAAGATAAAGATGATGATGGCCAGGATGATGGTGAGGTTCCCCAGCGCCCCCACTGAGTTTCCGATGATCTTGATGAGGGTGTTTAAGGTTGGCCAGGACTTGGCCAGCTTGAGGACCCGCAGCTGCAGAGGAACAGAGACTGTGTCAGGTCTTGGAGGCTGTTCCCATCACCTTTCATCTCAAATCCTGGCCCAAAACCAAAGGCCCGGGGAATACACAAGGCAGCTCATTCCATTAAGATGAGTGCTCCCAGGAAGGTACTTTCAGGGACCTTTCTTCCTGTGTCATCGGTTACTCAAAAATATTACCAGTCTTCTCCAGTCCCTATTCAATATGCTTCATTGACTATGACCAAGTCAGGGGTCTTATACCGGGGGGTGGTCTCACCATAGGTACTCTTCTGAAGCTCCTGGACCCCGGATGTGAGCTTATTCTATGGGGGAAGAGTAGGGTTTGATGGCACTCACATGTAAGTGAGAACGGCCTCCTTATAAGTGAGAACTGACCTAAAGAGAGGCTAGCCTCCCGTGGGTAGGGCATGACCCATCATTGCACTTGAGAGGTATTGACTAACTGTCTTAGGGCATTACTCACCTTGGGCCATGGATATTTGTTGCCCCCACCAGCTATGATATTGCAAGTATCTATAGTTTCATGGACCCAGCATTAAATAGGCCATATATTCATTTAATTGACCAACCAAACTGCCCACCTTATTGAACGCCAACCACGCATGTGCGTGGTACTGTGCTAGCCTGACAGGTATGTGGAAAGAGGCTTCTGCCCTCATGGAACAAATAGTTTCATTAGCGAAGAAAAGGCAAAGACCCCTGAAGTCTTCACTGTGCACCCAAGTGGGCTAAGTCCCACAAGAGAGCAAAAGCACTGTGCATAAACATGTATCAACACTTAAAAAATACATTTGTGTGATTCTCTGTTAGAAAGAGGTATCTGGACTCATCAGTCATGGGGTATTTCTGGTGCCCCTACCAAAAGCCAGGTTCTGGCTCAGGTGTCAGGATGCAGTGCTGGACAGAGCGGGGAGGCAAGTTCTGTCACTCACACAGCAGTGATGATGAAGTCCCAAGAGAGGAGGTTTATCGTCTCACACAGGAAGCTCCACATCCACTTTTCTATGTGATGGGGGAGGGGGCAGTGGGAGACTCATGGTTTACCTGAGACCTAATCTGGAGGTTATTCTCCTCACCCTGGAAACAGAACGTGAAACACCAGTTCTGTGGACTGGATGTAGAGGCAGCTGACAAATGCTTATAAAGATTGAGTATTAGTAACTAGATGGAAACGTAGCAGCCGTTCTCACAGTAAACTCTGGACAAGAGCAAAAGCAGAGGCTAGAGTAGGTCCCTGATACAGGGTGACAGCCACCCACCACAACACAGAATCTGTGGGGCCTGACTTGAAACAGGGAGAGACACTAGGGTATGCTCACTGGCCCCTGGGCACAAATACCAGGCACCAGCTCTTGCCTTAGTTGCACCTGGCTAATGGTTTCCACTGGTTCCTCACTTAGTTGGGGTGCAGGTGGGGCGGAGAGTTTAGAAATCAATATAATTGACCCTCGAACAACATGGGGGCTACGGGCACAGGCCTCCCATGCAGTCAAAAATCCATGCATAACTTTTGACTCCCCCAAAACTTAACTATTAACAGCCTACTGTTGACTAGAAGCCTTACTGATAACATAAGATGAGTCAATTAGCACATATTTTATATGTTACATGTACTATGTACTGCATTCTTACAATCAAGTCAGCTAGAGAAAAGAAAGTCATTAAGAAAGTCATAAGAGAAAATACATTTACAGGGTTTATTGAAAAAACCTCACCCTGGCTGTCATAGCTCAGTGGATTGGGCGCGGGCTGCAAACCAAAGCGTCACAGGTTCGATTCCCAGTCAGGGTACATGCCTGGGTTGCAGGCCATGACCCTCAGCAACTGCACATTGATGTTTCTCTCTCTCTCTCTCTCTCTCTCTCTCTCTCTGTCTCCCTCCCTTCCCTGTCTAAAAATAAATAAATAAAATCTTAAAAAAAAAGAAAAAACCTTTGGCCCTGGCTGGGTGGCTCATTTGATTAGAGCATCGTCTCAATATGCTAAGGATGCAGGTTTGATCCCAAGCCAGGGCACATACAAGACGCAACCAATGAATGCATAAATAAGTGGAACAACAAATTGATGTTTCTCTCTCTCAAGAAAAAAAAAATCCTTCATATAAGTGGACCCATGAAGTTCAAATCCATGTTGTCCAAGGGTCAACTGTATTAGAATCCCCTTAGATAGCAGTTTATTGTCCATAATTAAATTTATACTAAACAATAAGCAAGTTATGTATAATTCTCATTTAGGACATGAATTGAGTCATCCTCTATTAATTCGTTTGTTATCTTTATAAAGGGCAGGGAAACAGGATCTCTCCACTTGCTATTCCAGAGATGTCTGGGCTTGGGGGCCCCTACTATTAGCCAGTCAGTCAACACACATTACAGGTGCCTGCTGCTGAGCTGTGATGCCCCTCCCTGCAACCACCTGGCTGGCTCCCACAGATACCCAGAATGAGTGGTTCAGGAAAGCAGCCCCACCAGCATCCACATTCCCCATGACCTTCACCTCCACCACCATCTAGTTGCTTTCTGCAGTCTTTGCCCAGCTTAGCATTACATCAAAAGGATTATTTCTTATTACCATGGAAAAATTTTAAACTATTGCTTTTAATAGCTGCTGAATATTCCTTCATACTTAATTAACCATCTCTCTGGCTAATCTCATAATTAATATAAAATTTTCTGTTTAGAGGGAAAAAAAAGTATACTGCTTCATATCCCAATCAATAAGCACTGGGAATAAGTCTTCAAGTGTTGAAGACCGGTTAAATTTTTCAATGAAATGAAGTGACTCTTAGCAAAGATTATATTAATGGTGTGGCCACCACGGAGTTGAGAGAGGAAGGCATGGGGGCAAGAAAGCGAAGAAATACAGCCGTGCTGAGAACTTGGTCAGAGAAAGCACAGTGGGCATGCTGTATTCACAGCGTCTGGAGCTAAGCTTGAAAGGAAGGGCTCACAGAAGGAACCACAAGTCCTGACTGAAAAGCCTTTGACTGTTTAAAACTTAAAAATGAGCCTTGGCTTCTCATGTTCCACAAGCTGGAGGCAAGCTCTGAAGGCCACGCAGGCCTGGCTGGCATCGTAACCTTGACATGGGTGAGAAATAAACCTTTATTGGGTTAAGATCCTGAGTTTCGGGGACTGTTGACACAACAGCTAGAATTGTGTATTGTTAGTTAAGTGACAGATTTTGAAAAGCAAAATAAAATGAAAATACTTAACAGAACTGTGAGATGGGAAAGGGTAACAAATGAAAACGTGTCTTGGAGGAAGGTAAAGATGTTAGCTAACGTTTACTTTGATTAAGTTAACTCTGCATGCTGGAATTACTAAGGTAACTGCTCGAATAAAAACAGAGTATTTATTTAGTTTCCAAACCATTAAAGGGGAAAATAGAACAAGGAAAAACAAACAACCCAAAATAAACCAAGAAGGGGTCGGGGAGAAGAGAGACAGGAGACACACACATGTGAGAAGTAAAGCAAATAGACAACCCAAAATAAAATGATGGACACATATCCAGATCTACTGGTATTTACAGAATAAGTGGACAATGTGCTTTGGTTAAAAGACAAAGATTAGATTGTCAGAACTGAATAAGAATCTAAAACCAGACTATGCTGTTTATAAAAGACAAATAAAAATCCTAAGGATGCACAAAGGCTAGAAGAAAAAGGATGGATAAAGATATCAAGCAAATTCTAAACCACTCCCCTGCAAAATTATTGAATTAACATCGGGCAAGGAGATTTTCAAGGCAAAAAGAATTTCTAGGGGTAAAGAAGGTCGACCCTTAATGATAAAAGTTTCACTTTACTGGGAATATGTACACATTTGTACAACTTGAAATATGTACGACTTGAATTATGTACACATTTACTAACACAGCCTCAAGATAGAACCATAAGGAGAAACAGGCGTCGCCATAATCATAGTGGGAGATATTTTTACACACCACTCTCTTGGTAATTACTAGACCAAGCAGACAAAAATCAGCAGGCATATAGAATACTTGGACGATACCATGAGCTTTCTGTACTCAGTGGATTATGCAGTGCATTGCTCCCTACAACTGCAGGAGACACATTCTTTTCAAGCATGTAAGGAGCATTTTCAATATACTGAACCAAAAGAAAATCATCAATAAATTTCAAAGCATTAAAATCATACACTATATGTTCTTGGACTATAAGACAATTATAGAACTCAATGGCATAAAGATAACTACAAATACCACATATGTTTTGACACTGAGAACCATACTTCCAATTAACCTTTGAGTCAAAGAATAAATAAAAAAATAATTTATTATTTATTTTTTAAAGATTCCATCTATTTATTTGTAGAGAGAGGGGAAGGGAGAGAGAAAGAGAGGGAGAGAAACATTGATGTGCAAGAGATACATCAACTGGATGGCTGCCTCTCACATGCCCCCAACTGTGGACGTGGTCTGCAACCCAGGCAAGCATGTGTCCTGACTGAGAATCCAACTGGTGACCTTTAGGTTCACAGGCTGGCACGCAATCCACTGAGCCACAGCAGCCAGGGCAGAATAAATCAAATTTAAAATTAAAAACTACTTAGAACCAAACAATAAAAACATTCTACACATTAAAATGGTTCTTAGAAGGAAACTGAAGTCTTAAATGAATTTATTACTTTGAAAATTCCATCTTAAGAAGTTAGAGAAGAATAAAATATGTAGAACAGAAGATGTAATTAAGACAAGATACAGGGTTAATTGAAACAGAAAATATCAGTGAAGTAGGATCAACAAGGTAAAGTTGGTTCTTTGAAAAGACTGATTAAACTGATGATTTTTTTCCAAGACTAGTAAAAAAGGATGAGAGAAAGCACAAACCATGATTTTTTTGAAAAAGGAAAAGGTAGTGCAAGCACAGGTGATACAGACCCTAAAAGATAACAGCATAGTACACACAACTTTATGCTGATACACTTGAAAATTTAGATAAGAAGGAAAATTTTAGAAAAATGTAACTTAACCAAAACCACTTTGAGAAACAGAAAACCTGACTAGTTCCACAGCCATTAAGAAAATTATATCAGGGGAGAGAAGAGGGAATTTCAGGGGAGAATGGGAAGGGTTTGCAGGAACAAATTTAAAGGACCCATGGACAAAAGCTAGGGGGAGGGTGGAAATGGGAGGGAAGTGGGGAGGGTTGGGTGGGTGGGCTGGAATGGGAGTAAAAGGGAGAAAACTGTACTTGAACAATGATTAAAATAAAATTAAAAAAAATTAAATCAGTAATGAAAACTCTTAACCTCCAGATGGCTTCATTGGTGAATTCACCAAACCTATTAGGAGCAAACGATTCCAAACTTACCCAAAGTTTGGGTGTAGAAGAAGAAGAATGTTTTTTCACCTCTTTTTATAAAGATTAGCATAACCTGGCAATTTGCATCCTGGCAAAGGACAATGCAAGTAAAGAAAATTACAGGGCACATATTACTCATCAATAAAGATGCAAACATTTCCAGCAGACTCTTAGAAAGCTGGATCTTCCAAAGTATAAAATTCGTATCATGATCAAGTTGGGCTTATCCCAGGAATACAAGGTTGATTTCACATTAGAAAAATCAATTAACATAATGTACCACTCTAATCCATTAAAAGAGAAAAATCTTGTGATTATCTTAGTGCCTGAAGAACAATTGCCTGATAAAATTAAACATCCATTCTTGATTAATATTTCTAACAAAAAAACTCCTAAACTGATGAAGTTTTTTTTCAATCTTTCAAAAAAGTGTCTCAAATATCAGACTTAGTGAAATGTTGAAAGCAAGAAAAAATACAATAAAAAATTTTTAAAAAAGGAAATACTGAAAGCATTCTCTCTGAAATAGGAAGACAGCAAGGATGTCGGCTATGAGAGCCTCATGCCAATAGGGTACTGGATGTCCTTTCTAATCAGCACAAGGAGGTGATGACAGGAACCAATTGTATACGGGTTAAAAGAGAAGAAACAAAACTCATTATTTCCATGATATGACTGTGTTAAAACATTTAAAAGATTAGGTAGATAAATTGTTAGAGAGATTTCTGAATACAAAAAAATTCAGTAGCAAAATGGTAGCAAAAATAAAAAGAGGAAATCTTAAAAAGCAATTTCATTTAGACTAGTATAGTGAACTATCTGAGAATAAACCTAACAAAAGATATGGAGAAAAGTCCTTTATGGAGAAAATGATAAAGCTTTATGCAGAAATTATAAAACTATGGAAAGATGAAAATAAATGGAGAGCATGTTATTGTCATAGATCAGAAGACCATATAATATAAAGCTTACACTCCTCCCCAAATTGAACTACAGAATATTGTAATCCCAACAGAAACCAACAAAGCAAGTCTGGTGTGTATGTGGATATGTAACTTGGCAAGTTGCTTCCAAAATGCATATGGAAGCGCAGGGGCCATGATGTTCCCGAAGAAGTCAAACAAGGTGGGCGGCTTGCCCTGCAGACACATATTCAAAGGCAATTGCAGTAATTAAGGCGGTGTGGTATTGGGATGAGGAAAAGCCAATAGACACGTTAATGGAAGAAGACTCTCTTTCAGCAGTGTCCAACCTGCAGCCCACGGGCCACATGCAGCCCAGGATGGCTGTGAATGTGGCCCAACCCAAACTCGTAAATTTATTTAAAACATTATGAGATTTTCTTGTGATTACATGTTGTGATGTATTCAATGTGTGGCCCAAGACAAGTCTTCTTCTTCCAGCGTGGCACAGAGATGCCAAAAGGTGGGGCACCCCTGTTTATTTTGAGAAGGAAGACAAAGCAATGATGACACAATCATCATTTCTTCCTTCTTTCCTTCCTTTTTTCTATCCTTTTTTTAATTAACAGGTGCTTATTGAGTTCCTACTATGTGCTGGGCCTTGTGCTTAGGTCCTTGGGATAAAATGATAAAACAGAAAACTCTGGTTTTTGTCTCATGGACTACTAGGATGATTGTAAAGTGTGAACATTAAAAGAAACAGGTTACTTTGATGAGGGAACCCAACTTTAGATAATGTGGTTGTGGAGGACACCTCTGAGTAGGTGATGTGTGTGTTAAGCCAGGAAAGAGGAGAATGAATGTGCTAAGTAAAGACTCGGGGAATAAATGTGCCAAGGCTCAGCAGCAGGAACAGTTCTGTTACATGCCAGGAAGAGAAAGGAGGCCTCTTTGGCTGGAGCGAAATGAGCAACAGGAGACTGGATAGGTAGACAGGCCCTGTGATGCTCAACTCTGTAGACCAGGGGTCCCAACCCCTGAGCCATGGATGGCCACACAGCAGGAAGTGAGCTTGAATATAATGCACTTGAATCTCTCCACACCATCCCTTCCCTGTCCTCTTGTCCCCCATCAGTGGAAAAATTGTCTTCCACAAAATTGGTCCCTGGTGCCAAAAAGGTTGGGGACTGATGCTGTAGGCCATGCCAAGGACTGTGGATTTCACTGTCAGAGCCTTGGGGAAGCATGGAGAGTTACTCGTAAGAAATGTGCCCTACTAACATAAGATGATGATAATAGAGGAAACTGCATGCATGTGTGTGGGGCATGGAGTACGGAAACTCTGCACAATCTGCTTTTGTTTCTGAAACCTAAAACTGCTGTAAAAAGTAAAACCCACTAATAACAAATATGAAACTGGTGATCTGGGCTATGTGAATTTTCTGCAGCGATACCCACGGCTCAGGTGTGGGCACAGCAGAGTCAGACACTTGGCTTTAACTCCAGGATAGGTTTTTGCCAAACACGAAATGTGAAGTGGCAGAGGAAAAAGGTGGTTGAGTTTATTTTGGGGGGCATGATAATATTAAAGGACCATGATATCTCAGCCGGATAATGAGGGAAGAGAAGATGGTGGGAGAGGAGGCCTAAAAGACCCCCAGAAAACGTGGCTTCCTCCAGATGGCCTGGAAAACTGGGAGACCACCAGTGACCCCAGACTCTCCTGGCAATCTGGCAGGCCTGACAGGTGTGGCTCTTATAAGAGTGGGTGGCCTGTGGACAATGGAACACAAGCGACTTGGACAGAACTCCTGCAGAGCTCAGTGTGGAGAAGAGCCAGGCCATGAGGCTAGAAGGTGGCAGTTTTGAGGCGTGTGAGACACGGGGGCTGTGATTTGGGGCACTGGAGGATCCGAGGATGAGCTGTGAGGTGGCAGGAGCTGGGACCTGGGAGTCAAGCATCCTGACTTTGAAAAACAGGTCTGCTACCTGCTCGGCAGCTGGGAGCCTTTGGGTCATTGTTTAACTACGCTGCATCTCAGTCATCCTCATCTATCATGAGCAAAGTAACTCGCTCTCTGAGGGTTGTTATTGTAAGTACAAAACAAGGTATGTTATGTCAAGCGATTAGCACTGTGCCGAACACCTAGTTAGTGTCTGAGAAACCGAAGCTGCTATAATTACCATCATTACTGTTGTTCTCTAAGAGAACAGAAGGGTTCTGGGAAAGTCTCTTAGTGCAGATGAGGGAACCGAGGCCCAGAGAGAAGAAGGAACACCCCCACTTTGAGTAAGTGGGAAGTACCAAGTCTCTAGCTTCCAGGAGCCATGCCCTGCCTGCCTCCCACAGAGACAGGAAAAGAAGAGAGAGCTGACTCGGGAGGTCCCCAAAGGACAGTGTCTGTTCTCAGGGGTGAGCCTCCCGGATGGGGGGGTAGTTTTCCCAAGCCACCAAGAGACAACATTACCAGGCGGAAGGACCGCAGCACCGCCATGCTGCCCTTCTTGGCTGTGCCTAGCTCCATCAGGCTCACAGTGACGATGATGCAGTCGAAAATGTTCCACTTCTTCTGGAAGTAATTGTAGGGGTCAAAGGCAATGATTTTGAAGACCATCTCAGCGGTAAAAAACGTGGTAAAGACCTGCGGATGGAAACAAGGATTCATCTCAGCAAGGGTCTATGGGGGTGAAGAGGGGCACCAGGACAAACAGGACACCAGAGAAATCTCTTTTTTATAAATTAGCAAATCCTTTTACATTGTTCTTAGTCAGCTTCTATATTACCTGGGGGCTCCTGAAGGGCTGGGGATGGGAACACTCAATGTGGCAGCAGAGAGCAATCTCTGGACCAGTGCTGAGGACGCATGCATCAGAACCCATGCTTCAGTGTTTCCATAGGAATGGTGACAGAAGGGGAGTAAGTGGATAATCACGAGGATAATAATTGCTACATAATTATATAAATGAGGAGTCAATCTGGTTCAGTAGTTTAAAAGCATGGATTATGGGGCCACATGGACCCAGATAAAAGTCCCAACTCTGTCACTTCCTAGCTCGTGTACACCTGGACAAGCACTGGGCCCTCTCCAGGGCCCAATTTCCTCATCTGTATAATGGACATAAAAATTCGATAACGCCCCTGCAGGTCTCAGCAAAGGTGCTGGCAGAGAGTAATTAACTAATAACTAATAGCCATCAGCAAGCACAGAAATGATGCACTGTCTCTAAGAGTCTAACGGTCCCAAGACAGAATTCTGACATTAAAAGAGGTCCGGGCCAGGCTCAGATCTCACAACAACCAGCTGGGATGGGAGACAGGTAAGAAGAAAGCAGAGACCAGGGTCAGGGGCTTTTCTCATTTGTTCTCATCAAAGCCTGTTGCGAGCCTGGGGAAGGACCGTGTTGAGAGTTCAAGGGACATGGCTGATGCCTCAGACTGCAACTGTGGTATTCAAAGAGCATCTGTGGAGCGCCCTCTGTAGGCAAGTCAGTGTGCTGCTGTGGGGGATAGGGTTAAGGAACCTGGGTCTACTCTTGCTCCAACTTCCCCAGCTTTGCCACCCTGGACAGGACACTTAACCTCTTTAAGTCTTAGTGCTCACTTTTGGGCTGTGAGGGTGATGACAACCTCATAGCATAGTGACTCTGAGATGACACTTGTAAAGTACCTGACTCATGGTAGACACCAAAAAAATGCCTGCCTTTCCTTTCTTTTCTAAAAAAGTGCCCCGTCACCATGGTAAAGACCTTGCTCTCGTGTGCCTCAACTTCTCCAACTGTAAAATGGGGGTGTGGACTCTCAGGTCTCTTCCACAAAGCCCTCTGTGGTCTACGCTGACTTCTTGGAACTAAGCCCTCCCTTCTCTTTCCACTTCTCCTTTTTTGGAAGGACACAGGCATGTCCATAATGGTCTTTATGTAGGAAAGTGACATTTATGCTTACTTCAAGGCAGACACATCTGAAATCGGGTGGGTTCAAGGGGCTATCCTGAGTCTGTAAAGAGGGACCTCATTGCCTCCAGGTCAGGACCTTCTCACTCCACTTCTCTGTGCTCATTCATCCCAAAGCAGTTCCTACCCACTCAGCCGGGTCCTCTGGACTTGCCTTTCTGGACTCAGCAACCACACAACCCCCACACTGCTCTCCACTAGCTAGACCAACACTCGGACCAGCGAGGGCATGCTGCTACCCCACCCAGAGCTCTCAGCTGCGGTGGCACGGGCGGTGGCTGCCAGGCACTCACAATGTTGCCTATCTGGAACATGGTTTCGAAGGTGTGGCTCATGCCGTGGTGCTCCATGGCCATGAAGACGGTGTTCACCACAATGCACAAGGTGATGGTGAGCTCCGCAAAGGGGTCCGTCACAATCTTAAACAGAAGCGTCTTGAGCTTCACCCACTTGGGGCAGCACTCCCAGATCAGATACTTCTGAGCCAAGCTGATCAAGCAGGGCGGGCACTTCTGTTCCGATTCCTCGAGCTCTGCATCACAGGTGAATTCAATGACAGCTGTCAGCCATGTGTCACCTCAGACCCCTGTCCCGTGGCCACCCCCTAGGTCTTGTTATTACTAATAACCACCATCTCCACTCTCCACATCAGCCCTCCCTTTCTCTGATGATTACTTCCTGCTTTCTGAATTTCCTTCAGTCCAGCAACTCCAATCCAGTCTCTCTCCACATTCAGTGGTCCAAAACATGGATCTGACACTTTTTCACTGCTAATCACCCATGGCATATCTTTACTTCTCAACTTAGAGTTCATGTCCATCCCTCCATCTGTCCCTTTGCAGACACCCTCAGTTCCCTTGCCCCTCTCCCCCTCCATTGTACTTGCCTGGCAGAACCCCAACCCGGAATAAACCCAATGTGTAGACTTCTCTGCACCTGCACCCAACCAGCTGAACTTGGTTGGAAAAAGTACACAACTATGCTGACTGGCCGCACTAGGGATTCATGAGCCCCAGCTGGTTGCTGCCCAGAAATCCTGCCATGCTTCTCTATTTCAGTACACTCTTTCAGCATTCCAGATTGCTATTCTGATTTCCTCCTCTCTCCTCCCACCTCCATCGCCCCCTAGCCACGCCTCTCCCTGGCGCTGAGAAGAAGCACAGGAAGTAGTGCTGCATGAGGAATCTTGCAGAGACTCCATTGTGGCAGGAAGCAGCCTATCTGTGAGGCAGGACAGGCAGAGACTCAGCCTTGTAAACAGCCTTCACTTTGCTGATGTTGATTGTCTGGGGAGAGACAGAGGCTAAAAGAATCATGCACTTGTTAGCTTGCAACACAATCACGGTTCCTCTCCCAAAGAGCCTTCTGCAAAAAAACTATTCCAGAAAGAATAGTAACCCTTTCCTTAGGTTACAATTAAAGAGGGGTCCCCTGCTTCTTTTAACAGCCAGTGTCTCCATTTGTGCATTCTCTCCCGCTGGCAATGTGAAGAATCTACAGAACATTCCCTCTTTTATTTACGTTCCAGCTCTCCCATTCTCACAGATCCTCCCCATTAGCATGGAAATGTCCTTTTAAAAAAGCCACATACAGCCGTGGCTGGCATAGCTCAGTGGATTGAGCGCGGGCTGCGAACCAAAGTGTCTCAGGTTTGATTCCCAGTAAGGGCATATCCCTGGGTTGCAGGCCACGGCCCCCAGCAACCACACATTGATGTTTCTCTCTCTCTCTCTTTCTCCCTTCCCTCTCTAAAAATAAATAAATTTAAAAAATCTTTAAAAAAGCCACATATGAAAACAAAACAAAAAATACTTCCTTTAACTTTACTTACACCATAATATCATTTTACTATCTCCTCCTCTTCACAGAAAAGCATCTTGGAAAAGTTGTCTATATATAATATCTCCACTTCCTTACCTCTCGTTTATTCTTCAATCCCCTCCAGTGCATCTCTGTGTAATCCCCCACTCCACCAATCCCCGCTTGCTCAATCACCAAACACATTCACGTGACTAGAGCCCTGGACTTTCTTTAGACTGGATCTTACTTGATGTTTCTATAGCATTGCCTCTTTTGACCTTTCCATACTTCTTGAAGGAATTTAGACCCTTGACTCTGTGGAGTATTCTTCTCGGTCTCCTATTTCTGGGCATCCCTTCTTACCCTCTTCTGTTCACTCCGTTTCTTCTGTTCAATCATTAGATGTTGTTTCTGAGAACCCTGTCCCAGGACTTCTTCTCATTTTACTTGATTCCTTCAATGTCACCTAACCACTTGCACCATTTCAAAGTCACCATCTATATTCAAACTGCTTTCAATGCTCTATCTCTAGGGCACTCTTAACTTCTGAGCTCTAGACCCATTTATCATAAAACCAACTTCCTACTGGGCACCCCTACCTAGATGTCTCAGGGGCTCCTGAAACCCAGTATGTCCCAGACTCAGCTCAGAGTCTTTCCCCGGTGACCCCCCCTCCCCGCCCCGGCTCCCCAACAGTGTTCCCTGTATGTCCCTGCACCAGCATCCTTTCAGTTGCTTGTGCCAGAATCATGTGAACTGCCAAGTCTCGAATCTTCTGCCCCAAGAGAGCGCTCAGATGCGTGCATTTCCTGTCTTCCCCACCGCCACCACGCTGGAGTCCAGCCACTGCCACCTTTCTGCTGGTTTCCTCCTAACTGGTTCCCCTGCCAACACCTTTCCCCTCTTAATTCCATTCTCTACGTGTATCCAGAGTAACCTTTATAAAATGCAAATGTAGCTCCTCTCCCTCCAATCTTTTAGTGGCACCTCGCTGCTCTTAGGATGAAGTCCAAAATCATTAATATGGTCTAGGAAGTTCTGTGGGTCTGGCCCCAGTCCATCTTTCTAGCCTTATTTCAACCCCCTCCCCTCCTGGCTCTCTATGCTCTGACTCCAGCAGGCTTTTTCATTTCTTTAAGTGTCAGGCTCTCTTCTGCTTCAGGGATTTTGCTCTTATTTGTGTCTGGAATACATCCCTAACCACCGGCTAACCTCACCATATCTCACTTGGCACCCTGCACTTTTCCTTCAAGACACTCAGCGCCCCAGCAGTACCTTGTTCCATGTCCTTCTCTCCCACTCAGCACGAGGGCAGAGACTGGGCTGTGCTCCTGCTTCTGGTCTCTGGCTTGCACAACGGTCAAGTCTTAGTTTGCATGCCCAGCATAGATGGTCCATGTGCCCCGACTGCAGGGAACTGCCAAGTGCTTATTGGCTTGGGCCAAACTTTCCCAAGCACAATCACCCCAGCATGGTGGCCTTTGTAAATCCTATCACAATTCTGACAGCATCAAGCGTCCTCCGTGGATGCCATGGGTATAGAGGATATAATGTTCAACCAGAGCAGATCACAGCTCATCTGCCCTATGCTCAAAAACCTTTGACCCCTTTGACCTCATCTAAGGTCACCTTTAGCCATAATTCTCACAAAAATGTCATTGTTTCTCCTGCCTTTCCCCATGTACTCTTACAGCATCTTCCTTGAGGGAAAATCAGTCCTGTCTCAGGATACCTGACAACGCCTGTTCATTGGTTCTGGTCATTATAAATTAGCATCACCCCCCACCCTCTTATCACATTTGTACATCACACTCATTTGCCATTCATTTACCAACTGTTTGTTGAGTACCTACTATGTGCCATGCACTTCTCTTCTAGGTACTGGCATTCCAGCTGTGAGTCAAACACATACCTCTCTGCTCCCATGGAATTTATAACCTACTGCATATTTTTATGCTTTACAAAGGAGAAGACTGAGGCACAAGGCAATTACTGGAGCCCTGAGATGGCACAGATCACTGTCAGTGGCAGAGCCAGGGTGCAAATGCTGACGGCCAGCCTCTAGGACCTGTGATCTCTACTGCCCTCATTCAGCTGAAATTGCCTTTGTTCTTACCTAAACTGGGATGGGTTTGGGACACATGTTTTGTTCATTCTCGTCTCATTGCTACAAAATGCATTGCATTTGCCGTTCATCTGTCTGGAACTCTCTCCCTTAGGTCCTCACAAGCCTGATTCCCTTACTCCATTTAGATTTCTGGTCTCCTTCGGGAAAAGATCCTTCTCCAACCCTCCTATCTAAAACAACCCCTTCTGTTAGCCCTCACTCTCCATCTTCCTCCTTACTTAATTTTTTCCTTTACTTCTTATCACTCCCTGAATATCTATTTGTGCTTATTATCTGTGTTCCCCGGCCCCTAAGATGCAGATTCTCCAAGGCAGGCTCCTGTCTTGTTCACTGAATTCTCAGCAGCTGGAACAATGCCAGGCACATAGCAGGTGCTCAAAAAACTTTTGTTGATGAATGAATACATTAAAAAGGAGGGAAGGAGGAAGCTTGACATTTCTGGGGAATAAATGAAAAAGCAAGCTGTTTGTATTTAATGTTTGCTGTTTGATGACTAATAGCAAAAAAAAAAATTCCCAGGAATCTATCTGGCTAACAAAAAAATCACGGGCATAGCAGCAGGGTGAAATTCTTTGAAGCCACAAAAAATGGTGTGCAGACACTATTACAATGAGAAGTAATTATTAAGTAATTACCAAAGAGGAAAAATAACATATGTGTCTGTATACATTGTTATTACTGGAATGTGTACCTATTTCTCTGAAGACAAGCTCAGGTATGCAAGAAATGTAACTTAGGGTTTTCTCCCTCCCCACCTCCCCATAATTGCATTCAGTTTACACTTCAACGAGCCATCCTGGGGAGTTTGTTTCAGTCATTTCAATGTTTGCTACTACTTCATTGTCTGAGGTTGTATCTGAGTTCTGGGGGCGCTCCAGGTGGAGGGCTGAGCTGGTCCTTAGTCACTGCCAAGTGCATTTTGCTTGAGTTGCCATGGCTCCCAACCTGGTTTCTGACGGGAGGGCCATGGAGGTGGCTGCTCCCTCTTTGCATCTCCAGGTTCCTTATGTGGCTCTCACTCGTTTCCTTCCAACGCTTCCAGTGGGGGTGAGGTCATCGCCTGACACTGTCCTCCTGGGGCCAAGAGCACCCTCCAAGGCTGCCCCAGGCCTTCCCTACTCAGGTACTTTACTGGCTCATTCTATTCTATTCCACAATTTATTTCCCATGCCAGGCATGGAGGTCCCTCTCTGAAGCCTACCACCTCTGGCTTCACCGAAAAAGTAAGGCACATGTTGGTTCTGTTTGCAAATCCCTCACACATTTTTTGGTTCATATTGTCTACTGTTAACTCCCCTGGAGTAAGGATAACGCCCAGGGCTGAGGGGAGAGCACACCAGACATCTTCTCGGGAGCACACCTACATCCAGGCTCCCTTCTCCAGTGCAGGGCATTTTAAATGAGTCTAGGGGAGACAGATAACTGGATAGGATGAAGGCCATACTTTCCATAGCCAGAGGCAAAAAAAAGACTGGCTCAGAAGACAGGCCTCGTCCTCAGGGGAAGGAGGCCACAGCCCTGCTGTTTGGGAACTTGAGAGTCAGGTGGCCTTGATCTGGAGCCAGTCCCTTGGCTTGGTGTAAGCAACTGGAACTTAGATGCACCCCTGTGGAAACTGAGTGGATTCCCACTCAAATGATGAAACCCTGAATCGACAAGAATTTGGTTAAATTGGCTAATTTATTTAAATGATTTTTCCAAAGATCAGCATGATTGGGCTTGAGACAGAAATTAAGTTAGAACCATAAAAATTCTAGCCAGGAAAACATTAGGATAATTTTGCCATGTGTGAAAATTAATGACTTAAATTTCTTGCATACCTGAGTGGTAGCTTGATGTTCTCTGGTGCCTGCCAGATCCCTTTTTAAAACCTAGTTTTGTGGGTACATGTGAACAAGAGAGGGATTCGGGCATTTCAGCCTTTGGAGTCTATTGGTTTTGAAAGATTATCCACATTAAAAAAAAACCCTCATTGATTAAGGGTGTTGGTGCCAAAGGCACAAAATAAGGGCAGGATATCAGGACACAGAGATGGATGCCTTTTGACTTGAGTTTGGGGCATCCCCTCTGCTGCTCACACGGGGACTCGGGACAGCGACCTTCCACTGAGTAGCACTTACCCTCCAGGACGGAAGTCATGATACTGACCACACTCATTGCCCTTTGGGCTCGGAAAGGTTCATTCAAGTATTCTGCTGATAAGAAAGTCTTCTTTTGTCCTGCTTCCAATGCCTGCAGGGACACAAACAGGGTCAGGACACTCCTCCAACCTGAAGTTTTCAGTGGCAGAGTGGTTCCTCAGCCTCTCATTGGCCAGTCTCATGTAGTTGCCAGTTGCTCAGTGAAGCTGTGATCCTCAGTAGCCATGCTTGGTGGATTGCGGGCTGCTGTTGAACTTGGGGTAAGAGCTCAAGCATGAAGACCAGGACAAAGAGCTGGCGTACAATCAGAGTCCAGGTCTGCAGCTAATAGAGTAACCAGGGCTTCCCTGAGACTCTGCAAACTCCTGCCCTAGGACAGGGACCTGGGCACCAGGGTGGGAGCAGGCTACCTCAAGGGTCTCTGAGGTTTCTGCCAAAGGGAGAAGGAACAGTGAGCCAGGCAGTCATTATGAGACATCCTCTGGCCTGCACATAGGACATTTATGCATACTTCCTACTCTTTGTTAGACTTTCTGGACCACCTTTCTAACTGGCCCACTTTCCTCCCCAACATACAACCTGGGTTCTAATTCCACACCATCTCTTTCTTTCTCAGGGGACATTTGTGTGTCTTGACTGACTAATACAATCCTTTCGATGCTTCCCTCTTTGGGCCTTCAATCCAAAGTTCTGTCTGGGTTTTGGACCAGGCCCCTAACTCTAGCCACAGATACACACACTCGACATGGGGAATCCGAGGCCCACAACAGCTGGTTCAGCACCATGCAAAACATTCAGAACCCAAATTCAACAAGGATTTATCGAACCTCTATCATAGGTGAAGCTCACAGGTATGCAGCAGGTGCTAAAATAAGTATGAAGCATGTTTAGAAAGTTTCTAACCATGAGGACTCAACCAAAGATATTAGTTGTTATTTGTCAGACACATATATATAATTGTAGGCACTTTACTTTAGCCCTGGCTGGTGTGGCTCAGTGGACTGAGCACTGGCTTGTGAACAAAAGTGTCACTGGTTCGAATCCCAGTCAGAACACAAGCCTGGGTTGTAGGCCAGGTCCCTGGTGGGGGCCACGTGAGAGGCAACCACACAGTGACATTTCTCTCCCTCTCTTTCTTCCCCCTCCTCCTTTGTCTAAAAATAAATAAATAAAATCTTTAAAAAATGTAGGCACTTTATTCTTCCATTTAACCTTTTCGCTACTTAGAAGACTTTTTACAAGGGGAGACACAGAGGCTTGAAGAATTTAAGGAATTGGAACCTAGGTTTGTGTGACACAGAAGGGCTTAAAGACTTAATCTTGCACAGGCCAAATAATTTAATGAAAGTGCATTGATGTTGCCATATCTAGGGAAGTGGTAATGTAGGGATCAATAATAAGGTTTCTTGAATGAGGCATTTTCTAGAATATTAAGTCACCTCCAAGGAGGCTCTGTAGACTAGCTTTGACTTTAGGACTCTGTTGGTCCTTGGAGACCTACTCTCCCTTCTTTGCCCAGCTCTGTACCCAGGAAGAGTGACTTGTACAAACTGCATCACCCTCACCCTCTGCTCTGGTTGGGTTTGGTCAACGGGAAGTGCATATAGGAGATTAGAGGCTGGGAGGGTACCCCCTGTTTCTCCTCTGCTGGCCTGTGGCTGGGTGTTGGCTGCAGTTCTACACTTGAAATTACAAGTTCTATCAGGCCACCTCAAACACACAGTGGCTGTTCTTGCCAGGTCCTGGTTCTGGTCCTTTCCCTCACCTCTCCAGCCTAGGCACACACAGCTTCCCACCGTGCTGGTCTCTAGGGGCTTCACTGTCCCTTCTTAGCCCCCAGAGCCCCACCCACTCTCTGTAAATACTCCACTCAACTCTTTCCAGTTGCCTGTTGGAGTGGTTCATCTGTCTCTTGCTGGCATCCCATCGGAGATGGAGCTGAGCTATCCCTGCAAGACTCATCCTAGTCAGGGGAGCCCTGTAATACATGGTCTATTCCCAAGTCTGTTTGCAAACTGCTCTGTGTCTGTGGCTAGCCAGAGAGGGCAACTGAAATACACTGGCAGCATCATTACCGCAACTGGACAGAGAGCTCACATCATGCCATGGCTCCCAATCCAATGAGGAGTCCCTGGTTTGGCATTACATTCTGTGATTATTCTATTAAGAGTGCTGGCCAGTTAGTCACTGCTGCTTACATTGTGCATCTGGCAAGTTATTGCTTCTCTGAAGAAAGCAAGGGATATGTTGCTTCTCTTGAGCTCAGTCCATAGCATCTCCCAGGATTTCTCTGGGTCCCATTTGCCAAGCCCAGGGTAGCTTGCACAGAGCCACGGGTAGGGAGAGAACCTTCCATTTTTCTCATACTCATCCAGAGAGCAAGCAGATCTATCCCTAAAGCAGTGGTAGTGAGTGAGGACAGAGAAACACTGAAGAAACTGTGGGATCGACTGGAAAAGAATCTGTATCAGTGTACAGAGTAAACCAGAAAACCTGTTGGACCTAGGTAAACCCAGTCTTTCTCTGAGTCTTACTTGCCCTGTTGGTAAAATGGGGGTAGATGGAGGTGCTGGGCAGCATGATATCCAAAGGGTCCATCCACATGTGACACTCTGGACTTCTTGGCCCAAGGCCTCTAGCTGGAGGGCATCCCCAAAGAGTCTAGAACATTCACAAACTCACCAAGACTTCCGTGACTCCAGGCCCATGCTCACCAGTGGGCGGTGTGAGGTGCCCATCTTCTCCATGCCTTGGTCCAGGGTGGGCAGGTTGAGGCACTGGGCTCCTAGAGGGAGGGCCTGGCTGGCGGGTACTCCCACCCAGCAGCAGGGAGTCTCGACGGCTATCACGGTCTCCGAGAAAGACCGCATCATCGGTAACTCCATCAGGGAATGAACCCTCCTGGGCAGGGGCCCGGAAATGAAACACACTGCCATGGCTGGCCCGGCGTCGCCCAGAGGTGAGACCTAGGAAAGACTGGGCATTGCCCCAGAGGACAGGAAAGAGGGAGGCTGGGAGGTCATCCTGCAGGAAAATCCAGAGCTCAGCACTTCCCTCCACTCACTCCCATTTCCCTGCTCTTATTCCCAAGACCTTCTATTAGCAAATGAAGGACACAGATCTAAGGGGTTTCTCGGTGAACCAAGAGAATAGGGGGAGAATAGAGAGAGAATTGGGGAAAAAATATTCTTGACACAACCTGGGGAAGAGCCAAGATGGATGAGAAACTACAGGGTGGTTAATATTAGCAAATAGGTCCTCACGGCCAAGGACATGTTAGAGGACAACCTTGTGGTTCAATGGGACGTGTCAGCTATTTGCCATCCTTTGGCCACGGGGCTGCTCCATCCAGCAAAGTTGTGACCTAAGGAGACTCTATTATGCACATCAGTTCTGGAACATGCTTGGTAAATGGTTGTTGAATGACTGAGTGCACTTTATTGCCTGAAAATTAGGTTCTACAATTCATTAGAATCAGCCTGCATGGGTGTGAGAGTTTGTGCTGCAAAGGAGCAGACAAGGCCTCTGTAATGTAATGAGCTTCCAGGATCCCTTGAGGCAAACTTTGAACCGTCAACAATGGGGAGATTGAAGGGAGAGTTACAGCCTAATTTCCTGGAAGAATAATGATATTCCTCCAAATCAATAAACATTTCCCATCAAAATCCTCCTCTGAGAAAACTGTGGCTTACCGTTGCCAGAGAAAAGGAGAGAATTCATAGGCCCAGAGCCCCTGGAGTCAGTCGGCTGGGTCAGCTAGTGCCGACGACCACTGTGGGAGGCTGACCCTAACGAGTTATCAATTATGGCTGGCACTCCCACCCAGGAGCAGGTCATAGAAAGTATTTCTAAAACCTAAACATTGACTGCCTACCGAACTCTGATCATGCTGCTGAAAATTTCCCCCTCCGTTAATTCTGTGGACAAAAAGGGGGCCACATACAAACCTGACAAGCTCAGGGGAGGCCGGCATGGTGGGCCTTACAAACACATAAGAGGGTCTGAAGTTCAAACTTCCCAACTAAAGGTGAGTGATGGCAGGTAGTCGTGTCCTAGGCTGGTATTTTCCTTGACAAAAGTCAATCTGTACTTTAACTGAGCTTGTCCATTGTCTTTTTGCATCTAGGAATGTTCATGTTCCAGTGATCCCCTTTTCCCAAACCCCTGAGGGCACAATCTCCCACCAGAACACAAGACCATAAAACCCCTCATTGGTATCTTGTGCTTCCACTTACCATCTCTATATGCTGTAAATGTTAATTGTTAACTATCCTATATCTACCGATATAAATTTTACTTTTTATCCAATCTCAGCTATTTTCCTGCTTTCCTTTCTCCTGCCTCTCTAATCCCTCACCCAGGTAACCCCCTTACATCTCCCACTTTGATTCTGATGTATAAAATAAGTGGTAAGTCTGCCATTTTTCAGGAGCATTTTCTCAATCCATTGAGATTTTCATTTCCAGCAATTGTCATCAATTTGGCTCAGATAAACTCAGAAAAATTATCTACAGGTTTGGATTATTTTTACACTGACAAGTCCTTTTATTCACTAAAGTACTGAAGTTGGGACACCTTGTTGTCAGTTTGAGTTCTCCTTACTTATCCCCTTATCCAACTGAACTGAAGTTTCCTTTTTGAATATTTTGAGCCCAATGCTGTTCTGCAACCATCCTTGCCATCCTGAAATTATAAACAGAGTACTCTTTTGCCTAGTATAGATGTCCAAGGACTACGGAACTCATAAACTCCCACAAATCCTTCCTACCTTTGAAGCAAAGGTACAGAGTCAATAAACCTTTATTAAAGATTGGACAAGTGAGTTATTTGTACTGGGCAATAGGCAAATCAGGGAAGAAATTAGGAGAAAAATTTTGGTCCCATATGAGACAGGCAGTGCCCCCTTAGCCACCAATTAAATATTTCAGAATTAACCTATTGTAGGCAATGATTTCTGAACATAAGTATTAGACTTGCCTTGAAATGCATCACTCAAGAGGGCTAACTCATGTCCTGTGGATTGCCCGAAACCCTGGCTTGTCTCTCCTAACTACCCCCACCCATTCTCTCATTTCTGATGATAAGAAAATGGCTTTATGTAAAAACTTCCTGTGGTCTATTTACCACAATAATATACCTGGGAAAAGGGGAAGGGGATGCTTTCTTGAACGGACTGCAATTAATCAATTAGCATTTAAAAACTACCCAAATGGCACCTTTCTGTCTTTGCTCATACACGATCTTCTTTGTGCCTGGAAAATATGCCTCCTGAGCCCTCCCAGTCCTCAATAACTGGAGGACCCCCTACTCACTATTTACTATTCACTTCCATTATTCCCTCCCCCAGTGAAGCTTTTCCAGATACACCCCCCACACCCCTAAGAGTCATGTTTCCTCTTATATTTCCCAAATACCACGCCTGTGTCCCTAATGTAGTATAGAACGCATGGCTGCTTTTATATCTGCCTCCTCCATCCGAATGGGAAGTCCTTGAGAAAGAGACCATGTTTTAGTCATCTCTTTATATCAAACATCTAGTATTGTTGAATTAACAACATAGAGTTCCTCTTTTTTTCCCTTTGAAGGTGAGCCTAGCTGGAGAGACAACCACATACACTGAACAGTTATTGGACATCCAGGTGCTGATTTATGTGGGGCTGAGTGAATGGAGGAAATTAAAGCCCAATTCAGAGTGTCATTGACATTGCCATGGAAGCTGTGATTCATTCTGTTCTGTGATTGTCAAAGCCCTAGTCAAATCCCCTTTGAAACATCTTCTGAACTGTGCCCTGTGCATGCTGGGTGTTGCTCAAGAGGCAGAGCAAGAAAAAGAAGGGCACACACTCTGATAGATGCTGAAGTGTGGGTGTCTCTGAGGCCAGTGTGCATGTGAGCATGTCTGTGTACTGATATGCACACATAGATTTGAGGGTTGGAGAGACAGTATTCCAAAAAGTAGAATATCCTTCAGAAGAACACAGGAAAAGAGATAGAGAAGGAAGTGAGGGTCAGAAGGCCTGAAAAATAGCCATTTTAATCCTCTTTCCCATACTATGAGAGTTCTACAAAGGGCTTATTATCTCTTAGGCTTGTGGAAGGGGCAATATATGGGGTACACAAGACTTTGAAGGGAGGAGGTGGTGGGAGGAAATTTGGTGAGTACAGTGAATCTTAGATTGGGAAGTAGAGGTTATGGAGGGGGGGCAGAATTGCTGCAGAATCTGAAGTGAGGCTCTAAGGTAATTCCTAGGCTGGACTGTATCACAGAGATGGGGGCTTGGATCTTCTGTGCTAACAATAGGTGGGAATTTGAGCTGCAGGGGCTGAGGCATGAGGTCAGAAAGAAGTAGGCAAATGATTTCAGAACCATGGACAAGAACTGCCCTCCCTGATCCAGAATCACAGATCAGTGTGTCAGAAGGAAGCTAACCCTTGATGTCCACAGGTCCACAGACACCTCAAAATCATGCCAAATATGTGTTCACTGCCTTTCCTACACACCTGGCTTCTTTCTGCGGTGCTCCTCTCTTAGAATCACCACCCATCTAATTGCCCAGTCTGGAAACCTGGGAGTCATTTTGGATTCCTTTTTACCACATTCCACAGTCCCAGTCTTGTTGATTCCATGCCTACCCATAAAACCCTTTATAATCCACCTCCTATTCCCATCCATAATGACCTTGTCCTAGTATAGGTCACAATTTGGGGGCAGTCTGAATTACTAACACAGCCTCCTAATATCTGTGCCTCCAGCTACCTCCCAGTTGCAAACCACTTCCCACTTCAATCTACTGTCCACAACAGCTGCAAAGGTGGGTGATCTTTACAGCACAGACCTGAGCCCCTTACCATCCTGCGTTGGTTGTAAGGCTCAGATTGGAGTGATTTGTTGTCATCTGCAGAGCCCTCTGATACCCTTGGCCTCATTCTGTGCCTTTTATCATGGATACTTTTGGAGGCTAAAGGTGATCCAATGTGGGAGTGGAGAGAGGCTGTGTCAATCCCCATTGTTGCCAGCACCTGAGGAGAGAGAAGAGCAGCTGCAGCCAACAGCATCTGGTTGAACTTAGCATAAATGTATCCCCCAGACACAGGGTGTCCCAGAAGTGAGGACATCTGGAACAGAGGAGGCCAAGATTAGGACCTGGGTGGAAATGGGATTGAGACATGGTGGGAAGAGCTACTTCTAGGTCACCTCCCTCATTCACACAGTGGAGGAGAACCTGTTGATGACCTGCCCAGATCCCTTTTACCGGGCCAGTACACTCATCCCCAGCTGTCTGAGTGTTAGCTGCTAATGGTTCATAGCTGAGGCATTCTGCAAAGTTTCCTTTGACTGTATATTTGGCTGGGGCAGGTATGGGGGTACAACAGGCCAGCCCTCTTGCCTCAAGTTAGATGGGCTGACTCTGTGGTACTAGTCACATTCACAGTTCCCAAGGGATCATGCCGAATGTTGTCTCTGGCTGAGGCCACGTTCTCATTTAATTCTTCCCCTCCCCCACCCTGCTTCCTTCACTCTCCTTCTTCTGGGAGCATCGCTCAATAAATCACTTGCCTAACATCTTCACTTGGGTTCTTATTTTTTGTTGTTGCTGTTGAGAAAACCTGACTTAAGATGATCCCTGAGGTAAGATAAACCTTCCTAAACTTCCAGAGAATGACAGCCTTAATCTAAGTGACTTGTCCAGACCTCTCCCCAAGAATGTACGGCCTGCAACAGGCTTCACAAAGCTTTCACTCCTCACAGACCTCCTCCTCCTTCCGGAGCAACTCGAGAGCCTCCTGAAACTTCCTCTCCTTGGCTTCAATTTCATCAATGGTTGCTTGGTTTTGCTCCTCATAGGCCATGGTGACCACAGCCAAAATCAAGTTGACGAGGTAAAAAGATCCCAGGAAGATGACAAGCACAAAAAAGATCATATAGATTTTCCCAGAAGCCCTCAGGGTCTGCAGATTCAAGAGAAAGGAAAGAGACATGTACTCAGAGTAGATGGGCCCCTGACATTGTCAGGCTGCTCCAGGAAATATGTAGCGATGTTGAAGCCCACCCCTTAGCCTTCAGCCAAGTCTGTATGGGAACATGTAGATCAATACCTGCTGGTAGAGGCGTTCCCAGGAATCCTGTGTCATGAGGCGGAACAGTGAGAGGAAAGCCCAAGCGAAGGAATCAAAGCTGGTGTAGTTAAAATCAGGGTTGTCAGATGTCTTCATGCAGAAATAACCTTCAGGGCAGTGGCTGCAGCAAGAAGAAAGAAGGTTGTCAATTACACAGCTGACTTGGGGGCAAGTCAGCCCAGGGCTGTGGAAAGATTGGAGTTCAAGGCCTGGACTTCCTCTTATGAGCTGGATGACCTTGGACACTTAGTTTCTTTAGGTCTCAGTTTCTCTTGCCCATAAAATGGGATGATAATAGTCACTTCAGAGTTTCACACAGGAGGGAGTGGCCTGGGGAAAGTCAGCTCAGACATGACCCCACAAGGCTACAAGCTTTTTGCAAGTTCATACCAGGGGAGGGAGAGTCAGTACAAATAACACAGACTTAAAACCTGAGCCTGCTGGATCACCTGCAGAATTGCCCATTGAAGGAGGACTCACATTAGCCAAGTTCAGTGACCAAGTACAGATAACAATGAAAACATTTCCTACTGACTGAGCACTTACTGCGTTCCCCTCTCTCACCTAAATGCTTTGCAAATGCTCTAATTTAACCATCTCCACATCCTTTTTACAGATGTGGAAATTGAGGTTCAGAGAGAAGTCAGTTCCTAAACCCAAACAGATGCAACGTATTTATTTAAAAGGAGAAATATAACTGTCCGGAAGCCTATGAAGACTGACCAATAAAGGAAGGTCAAATCGAAGATGATTGCTTGGTGAGCATTGGGGTGGGAGTGCTGGATTCCTCTCTCTCAATAAGTGGGTAAACTGATGTCGAGAAATGCACCTCTGAGCCCAGGGTATGTGGAGTGCTCTCATCCACCTCAGTGGGATGAACTGGTCAAGGATGCAGTGATGCTGTGTTTGTATTCTGGATTCTACTCCCCTAGGATTTCCCCACTAACACCAGCCTCTGGGGCTCTCCTTGTTTCAGATGTCAATGTGAACACTCACTCCTAGAACCCATACCACTGATTGGAGTCCCAGCAACTTGATAATAGTCAATCCCAATTCTATCTTCCACCTTGGTTTCCAGACATTGTAGACCCATATTTAAACCAAGACCAAATTTTGATTTGCTCTCCCAAGGAGCAAGTCAACCCATCACCTGTAGGTTTGCTAGTGAACACTGAAGGCAGCCTTATCTCTAGGTCTGCCATAGAATACTGTGTGGCTGCTACACATCAACAGCTAACTGCTCTGAGAATTACATGAAACCATGGTGCAAGGCCTTTTGCATGCTGACTTCAGCATAGTAACTGTGATATATAAAATGCAAATTTAAATTCCTGCTGCTTTTAACCTGAAGCTACCAGGAGGATGGACTGAGACAATGCATGTGACGGAATGCTGAAAATCATCAAGTATTTCCTAGTATGTGTCTTCCACCTCAACACCCCAGGCTTTCCTCCCACAGTAGCACTGGTCAGTGTGGGCCTTTGCTCGGGGCTCTCCTTCTTGGAAGCCCAGCATAGCCTCAAGGTTTTGTGGTCACAGCATGCCATTCAGGACTTACTCTGCCCATTGTCCTGAGATGGCCTCTACTCGCCATCCCAGCCCTATCCACTTCTTCAATACCTGGCCAGGACCTGCCTAGCAAGAGGTCTGGCCTCTCTTGGAGCTTGACAGGGTGCTCATGGATAGACCCCATAAATTTACCACCAGTTGTGCTTGGGCTACTGTGGAGCCACTGCCATGAGAAGTGCCATTATTCAGATGGGAAACGGTCATTGATGGGCCTTTGGTCTAAATTAAAGTCAAGGGCAAATGAAAGCTGATATTGGAGTAATCTTCTCCCTGAGTCAAAGAACTAAATGCCAATTTAATTTGTGAAGAAAAGAAGTCAAGAAGCCTATGTTGATCAAATTCTCCTGTTTGTCCCCACCCCTTAGCTCTATCTGAGATTATTTCTCTAGTGAGCTGGTTAAGGCAGAGCTCTACCAGTTCCATTTGGGGCTGTCAGCTACTCAGAGAGTGGGGTTGTGCAGGCTCTGGTCTACCAGGCCCCCAGCCATGGACTTGGGAGTGGTAAGCCTTTCTGATCTGTTGCCTGAACTCTCTCTGCTCACATCTGCTCCAGTGGTAAAAGCAGCAGGCATCCCTGAGGGGCCCCCCTACCTCCTTGCTGGCCTGTTCTGCCACCTGGAGTGGCCTCCATCCAAACCATCCCTTGTTCACCCAGCTTGGAGGCATACTGCCTGCCCCTCAACTCTCACCTCAACTACCACCTCCAGGAAACCCTCCCTGACCTCCTCCCCAGCCTCTCATTATCACCTCTCTGTGCTGCCCCAGCCCTCAGAGCCTCCAGCACAGCAATGGCTCTCCACAGTGGAGCATCTTGATGCATATGTCTCAGAGCTCACAAAGTGGCAGCTTGTATGCTGCATTTGGCTTGCAGAAATATTTTGTTTGGTTCACAACATATAGACATTTTATGGAATTGGTAGCCAATGTTAATAGTTGGGAGATTTCACATAAAAATCTAAGTTTCCTATTTCTCTTTTAAAAGCTGGAAGAGTTGGAAGCAGGGAGATCCAACATTTCCATGTGGCAACCAAAGGCTGGACAGTGGTTGCCCCCTTTTGATGGGGTGTGCACTCTCATTGCCATGGCCCCTACCTAGCCTGTTCCTCTCATTTGTCATGTGTCTGGACTCTGTGAGAATTTGAAATTATAAAATCTGATGCCTGTGCTTTTTCCTCTGTTATGTGAGGATAATGAAACCCATGGGATGGAGCTGTGATGATTGAATGTGGAGAATTTGACACAAAACATATTTAACAAATATTAGTTCCTTCCTAGGGTAGATTTCTTACAAAAATGGACACAATTATTCCCCCCCCCGTATCCTCACCCCTTTGTAATATGATGTTGCAGCTCCTTCTATCAAAAGGTGAGGTCTGTTTTTCCACCCCTTGAATCTGGACTGACCTGGGACTTGCTTTGGTCAATAGAATGCAGTAGAGTTACCTTGTGCCAGTTCTAAGCCTCAAGAGACCTTGCACACTTTCACTCTTTTTCTTGGAACCCTGCCTCTGCCATGGGAACAAGCCCAGGCTAGCCTGCTGGGGAATGAGAGACCACAAAGCCATCCTAGATCAGCTAGCCTCCAGCTAATCTGTCCCTGAGATGCATGAGTGAACCCAGGCAATGCCAGAAGAACACCACACTGATCTCAGCCCAACATGCTGATGTGTAGAATCTTGAGCTAAATAAATGGCTGGTGTTTTAAGCCACAAAACCTTGGGGCTGTTTGTTACAAAGCAGAAGGTAACTCATACACTCCCTCCTCAAAGGCCTAGGCTGGCAGAAGCCACGGCTTATGCATTTGTACATTTTATTCAGGACCAACAGCCTAGTCTCTGCCCAAAAAACGTTGATGACAAGGAGAAAGGACTGCTGGGCATTGGAGCTATGTCATGGGTTGGGCACTCACCCTGCATCAGATCCATTGCCACAGAGTAGGCGGTCAGAAGTGCCTGGTTTATCAATGTAGAAGTCTGCAAAATAAAGGGAGAAATGGAAGCTCTGCATATGGTTCTGAACTCAAGCCTTGGGTGGTGAAGGCAGCGCCTTTTAAGTCTTCTGTCCCAGAGAGGTGAGTTACCTCAGCTATGTGAATTCAGTGGGCATACACAGGACACTCAGAACAGAAAAAGCCCCACCTGAGAAGGGAAAAGCTGAGCCCTGACTTTAGCTCCAAGCTTCTCCCAGCACAGGCAAGATGACTTGCCCCAGGATTTATAACTCATTTCCTTGTAAAAGGGACATTTAATAACAAAAATAGGAGGTCCAAAAGTAAAATGCAACTCAGAAAAAGCATTAAAGCAGGAAAGAGGAATCAAAATATAAGTCTATGTGGGTACACAGGGGCTCCACACCCCTTGCCAACCAGACCTTCATCCTTATGGCAGAAATTCCACTCATGTGTTTTATAAGAAGAGTAATTGGCTGTCTCGTTGAGAGCTGTGCAATTCTTGACACATTTGTTCTTGAGGTTACCCTTGAAGAGCTGCAGGCCCACCAGGGCAAAGACACTCAGACAGAAGACAGTGAGGATGGTCACATCAGCCAGCTTCTTCACTGAGTGGATCAGGGCCCCAACGATGACCTTCAGCCCTGTGGGAAGATAGAAGCAATATTCCCACATGGATGAGGTACTGCACACAGCACACATGTGAGCCTGGCATGCTTGCATTTTAGCCATCCTACCCTCTCACTACATACAGGTGTGAGGCATTTTACAAACTCTAGAGTAGTTCTAAGCCTAGTTCCTTGCATGAACCCAGGAAAGATGCTTGCCCCGTTTAAAGATGAGGTCACTGAGACCCAGGCAATGCATTGCTCATCATCTTAATGCTAATATGTTCCTGACAATAGCAATTCGATTTAAAAAAAGAATTGTTGAGTACCTGCTGTGTTCCAGGCATTGTGCTAATCAAGAGGCTACTAAATCATTCCAGTCCTTTTGGCATCTGTCTTTCTGCACTCAGCTCAGTTCTGGGAGAAGTTTGAGGCTGGGAGCACATGAATCTCACTGTGTGTGTGTGTGTGTGTGTGTGTGTGTGTGTGTGTGTGTGTGAGAGAGAGAGAGAGAGAGAGAGAGAGAGAGAGAGAGACACACACACACAGATGCAAGAAAGTAGAATAAGACAGAAAAGAGAGGCATAGACAAAAAAGCACAGAGACATGAGCACAGCAATAGTGCAAAACCATGAGAGACACTGGGAACAGAGAGCATCTGAGAGGATGCTACACCAGAGCTCAGCCCAGCTGGCAGCAAAGATGGGGCCCCTGCTTGTTTAAGGAAGGATGATTTGCTGCTCTGACAAAGGGATTCACCGTCTTTGGGAGAGCAGCTTCAAGGGCAGCATAGCAGGAAGGCCCCTGACTGGGGAAACAGTCTGGGATTGATCTTTGCCTTTTCCTTTTGGTCAACAAATCACCCCCTGAGGACCACACTGTCTGTGTTGGTCCCCATGCTGGGAGATGGCATGTGGTAGAGTTGTGTGACAACTGAGGGGGATCTCCATAGCAAGTGGGTAGCCCCTAACCAAAGCCTGGGGAGGGCGTGGGGTGGGGTGGAATGTGGGGAAGTTGGGAAAGACCAGGAAGTCTCCCCTGGGCTACTGGTGACATCAGAGATCATGGAGGTCCAATGAGATGAGCTCTGGTGAACTACTTTTGTTTCTGAATTCTCTGTAATCAAGGGCTCCCTGATTCTTTTCTTCTCTCTCTTTTTTTTTTCTTTTCTTCTTTATGTGTCTAAAGGAGCTGAGGCTCGAGCTTTCAGATCTACGGAAATGGTGACGACACTCACCTGAGCCCTGGGATACCTTCCCCCTTCTTTCCTATTTTCAAGTTTACACCTTTGGCTTAAGGTATAAATGAAAGTCTGACTAGATGGAGGCTTGCCTGACTTCCACAATAAGAACGTAAAATGAGGACATGACCTTCTTCTTGTCAGTTATCAATGGTGAGACCACGAGGTAGTGCGGACAGGGCATTGGTGGAGGAATCCAAGTCATTAGGTTTCCAGGTCACACGTTGCCTCTTACTAGTGATGAGGACTTCTGACTGTGTTTTCTACTCTCTGGGCATTGGTTTCTTTTGCTCATAACTGGGGGCAAGAGTCATGCCCTGCAACCTTATAGGGCTCTAGTGAAAAATCAAAGGGGTACATTAGACTGTGAACACCAATACATGGTCTGTGAATAATAAATGTGCTGGCTAAAGTAGCTCACCTGGGATCACAGAAACTGTTTTCAAAGCTCTAAGAACCCTGAATGTCCGCAGGCCGGAGAACCCTGGGAGAGATGCTGTTGTGCCGATGTATCTGTAGGACCAGAAGTCAGTCAGCACCTCTGCAAGGAAAGGGTCCCAGAAATGCATGCAGCATAGATAAGGACAATTTGGGGTGACATGAGCCTAGGAAGGACCCAGAATAGACAGAGAATCTAATGGCACTTTCATTTATAAACTGACACTAACACAGATTGAATTGTCCCAAGATCTTTGAGAAGATGCATTGTGGGCTATAGGCCCCCCGTGCTACATGTATGGGTGGATATTCAGGCATGTGGGCTTGGCCAACCATCTCTGCAGACACCGTTACTCAGGGAAAGACCTTCATGTCAGCTGGGTGCAAGGCTGTACCTTGGCGGATCTACTTTGACATGCTAGTTATCAGCTCAGATTTGAGGCCTCTGACCTCTCCCTGAGGATGTGGAACGAACACTGGAAAGTGACTGGGAAAGCTGTGCACTTTCAGATGAGGAAGCTGGATGGAGGTAAGGAAGCCTGGAAGAGCGTGTGCATGGGCGTGCCAATAAGCCCCATGCACACACACACACACACACACACACACACACACACACATCAGCAAGGAGAAATACTCACGCCAGTGTAATGACACCAAAATCCAGCCAGTTCCAAGGATCTCGCAAGTAAGTGAACTCATTTAGAAAAAATCCTCTTGCCAGTATCTTTATCAAGGCTTCAAAGGTGTAAATGACAGTGAAGATATACCTGGGAGGGAGGGAGGGTGGGGAAAGAGAATTAACTGTGCCCTGGAAGGAGCTTAGAGGGAGAGCTTCTGGGATTGTTCCAAAGGAAAATGCATGAAGATCATCCCCAAGGTGGGGACCGGGAAGAAGGCAGGATGAGGAGACGTGACTCATACTGAGGAACTCTGAGGGGTGGGCGGGGCAGGGTGGGATGTGTGTGGTTGAGATGATTGGCAGCATTGGCTGCTCGGAGGGTAGGCAAAGGGCAATGCCAGGTGAAGAACCACTCTGAAGTTCAGAACAAGGATCGTCCTGCTGCCTGAGGTTCCCAGAGGTGCCCCAAGTTTGAGCTGGAGGCTCCTCTTCCAACCTGCTGATGACTGAAGATGTGGAAGAGGGACCAGGCCCTGTGACATTTCTCCACCCCAGACTTTTCTATTCCAATTGCCTTTTCTTCTCACACCACGCTGAGTCTCAGGAATCCCTAAGAGCCATATGAGGCAGGAAACTGCTAGGTGTCATGGAAGAAAGAGCATTTATTTGCTCAGGAGGACGGACCCTGTTAGAGGATGACATCTCAAACTGCTGCTTTAATCTGCTGGGCACTTGGTGGCTTCCATCTGAAAGGACGGGTCTGGAGCTCAGGTTGAGAGGAGGGCGGTGTTTCTCGAATGCGCAGAACCCCTGCCTCACCTGCAGTAGTGGTTCTCAGGCTCTAGCAAGCATCTGAACTGCCTGGAGAGCTTGTTCAAACATGGATTTCTAGGCTTTCCCCGCATAGCTTCTCAGTCAGTAAATCTGGGGTGGGGCCCCAAGAATCAGTCTTTTTAACAAGTTCCCAGCTGATGCTAATGCTGCCAGTGGGGAAACTACCCTTTTAGAACCACTGACCAAAGGGCTCCAAATGCACGCATAAATCACTCAACTTTGGATACATTACCACTTTTGGGTGATAAATTATAAACATAAACACGGGTCTTAGAAATGGGAAGACTTCTGATTAAATGTGGCAGTTTGAACATACTGTATGTATTTACTTCTATCTTTTCTGAAATTCTTCTTAAATGACAGTAAAAAGATGTTTTAATGCATAAACGCACTAGGACAAAGATAGTAGAGAACACAACATCATTTTGGAAGTGAGAGTGAAGACAGATGAGTGGCCCCTGACAGAGCAGCCCAGAGAAAGCAGAAGCCTTAGCTGGCAGCAGGAAGTCCCCAGAAGCAAGCCAATCCGCACTGCAGAGCCGCTTGGGACTTAGAGATGGTAAGAACCTCTGAAAGTGGGAAGATGGCAAAAGGGGCTGAAATAGTCTGAAGGTCTTCACAGGAAGCAGCTGGGCTCTTGAGATCCTCCCCTACACCACCCATTCCATGAGGGACTGGCTCCGGAAATTGATTGGTTTTCCATCTCTTCAAGAAGTAAACGAGAGGGAGAGCACTGCATACTGAAACAGGAAACACTGACATAGTAAAAGGCAGACAAACCTGCCCCCCACCTGCTTCTTCCCCTCAGAAAGTTCTTACAAGCCTGGCAGTCAGGGTAATAGCCCAAGGCACTGTGATGTTAATCTGGACAGCCTGCAACAAGCATCAGGAATTTGAAAGATGCTTCTAATACCAAAGATAAAGAAACCAAATAGGAAAAGAAAAAGAGACAATGCAGGGAGCAGAAAAGAAGTTAAGAAAAAACCCTGTTGTTAATATTAAAAATATTAATAAGTTAAGAGATTAGAGGAAACTGAATACATAAAATAAGAACAGAAGGTTATAAGTAAGAATATTCGAAGAAGAAACAGAACTTTTGAAAATAAAAATATGGTAGCAAAAGTAAAATATTCAGAGGAGGGCTGAAGATACAATTGAGGAAATCTCACAGAAAGTGGAACAAAAAGAAATGGATAAGAGGTGATAAAAGGTATAAAAATTAGAGAATTAGACCAATAGTTACAGTGCCTGAGTAATAGAAAATCTAGAAAGAGATAGAAAAAGATCACCAAAGAAATAATTCCAGAAAATTTCATCAAACTGAAGGATGTAAGTATTCACTTATAAACACATACAAGTGTTTTAAGAAAATTAACAAGAAGTCTCATATCAAGGCATAACATCACAGACTTTCAGAGCATCACAGACTTTATCAGAGCATTTGCACAAAGACAGGAGCCTAACTCTTTTTGAAGGAGTGACAACCACAGGTCATGGACAAAGGAATGAGAATCAAAATATCAGCAGATATCTCAGTTGCAGCCTTGGAGGTTATAAAACAGTGGAACAATGCCTTCAAAATTTTTAGGAAAATGATTTCTAGTGTAGAATTTCTTCTCCACCTAAAGTGTTAAGAATGAAGACAATTATATATATGCAAAGTCTCGGAAAATTTCCTTCCTATCGGCCCTTCTAAGAAGGTTACTAAAGGATGTGCTCCACCAAAACAAGGAAGTAACCAGTAAAGAGGAAGCTATGGGATACAGGGAAAAGACAAATGGAATCCAAAAGAGGATGGAGAAGAAAAAAATCTCCAGAAAAGAGGTGTGCATCATCAGGCCTAAAGAACATCTAGGCCAGATTGAGGCAGGAGATGGGGGCTCCAAGAGTGATTTCCCCAAGAAAATTTGAAACTGGTGGATAACCTGATGCATTTGAATAAATTGAAGCAATAATCAAACTTCTGAAGAAGGGTTTGGGAACAAATTAGTGAGCAAATGAAGAAATAAAATCCTTGTTAACTCCAGAGAAAGCAAAAACATTGTGCAAAAGGAAATGTAATAAAAATGCACTGCATGACTCAGCTGTGAATGGAATTTGCTTAGCAACACTATTATATAATTGCATGTGCAGTCAGACAATTACATATTGTCTGGTTCGCTAACCAAAATTTGTGATGTAACTAATGGGAAGATGAGTGTGAGAGGAAATGAGTTTGTTGTATATGGGTCTTATTCTTTTTTCTTTTTCATAACAGAAAGTCAATGGATAATATCTAAAATGGAAAAAATCTTTAAAAATAGTGGTATAAGTATATTATTAGAGATAAGGAGGTAGAAGAAAAAAGAGGTAAAAAAGCAGTGTTTGCCTTTGGAGATATGGAACTAGAGGTGAGAAGATGAGAAACATGAAATTGCTGTTTTTGTTAGGATCTTTATGGAACTCTGACCTTTTAAACCACAAACGTGTATATCGTAAATAAAAGTAAAAATCAAATTAAGAAGTGGGAGGAGAAATAGTGTTTGAAATCATAGCTGCTTGTGCGGTCCGCTTTCATATCTTCTTGGTTCTCCCTACCCCCATTTTTGTGTTTTCTAATCGGAAAATATTAACCCAGAATTATAGGTTGTTGTGAAGCTTCAATGGATAGTTCTGGCTTCTCAGATCAAATGCAGACTCAAAAATTACAGAGAGAGTTCCTTCTAAAGACGACTTTCAGTGTGCACCAGAGGATGGGGGTCCCAGCTTAATGCCCTGAGAGCTGGAAGGTGGGAGGTCTCAGCTTGCGGGACAGCATCCTCTCTTTCTGATGGCATTTGGCTTGTAAGATAAGTTCTTCATGTTCAGTTGCAGCATTTGGATGTGATTTGTAATACACAAAAGATATATCCTAAGTGTTCTTTTTTTTCTGTTGAATGAAGAAAATCATCAGGTATTGGGAAAAAGTCAAACTCTCAGGCATTGTGGTCATGGCCAACTCTCTCTCAACCATTGTTCGGTTTTAAGAAATTCCGATGTTTGATTGTTTAAAGACCTTGATATTTTGGCCCCAAAGGCAAAGATCTGTACTATTCAAAATCTCAAATGTATTACTGAGACACAGCACACAATTTGACAGAAATGATCATTTAAAAAGGTTTCTTTCCTTATTTTAAAACACAGTAAACCTTTTTTGTTCTGTTTTTGTTGTTGTTGTTGTTGTTTTGCCAGCTGGAGCAATCCAGTGTGGGAAAGCAGCATCCTGTACTCACTTTTCACTTCTGCCCTAAGCGACCACAGTTTGTAGTCACAGTTTCCACTCTGTCCCTCAACAGCAAATCAGGGTCTGGAGGCACGCGATGGGCGCCTCACTGCTTTCCATGAACAAAGAGTGGACAGCATCAGAAACACCTTTCATTTGTACAGTGATGCCTTTCCTTGCTGACCTTGTGGCTGGAGTTTCTTCAGTACCAATTCAATGAATCTGAATGAATTTTTTTTTCAACTGTGGCAGAATATACATAACATAAAATTTCCTACTTTGATAATTTTTAAAGATTTTATTTTATTTATTTTTAGAGAGAGGGGAAGGGAGGGAAAAAGAGGAGAGAAACATCAGTGTGTGGTTGCTTCTCACGTGGTCCCCATTGGGGACCTGGTCCACAACCCAGGCATGTGCCCTGACTGGGAATTGAACTGGTGACCCTTTGGTTCGCAGCCCATGCTCAATCCACTGAGCTACATCAGCGAGGGCCTACTTTGACCATTTTAAAGTATACAATTCAGTGACATTGAGTACATTCACGGTGTGGTGCAACCGTCACCACTATCTATCTCTGGAGTTTTTTCATCATCCTGAATTGAAACTCTACTCCTGAAACAACTCCCCATTCTTCCCTTCCTTCCTCCCTGGCAACCTCTGTTCTACTTTCTGTCTCCATAAATTTGCCTATTCTGGGTATTTCATATAAGTATGATCATACAATTTTTGTGTTTTGAGTCTGGCTTATTTTACTTAATATGTTTTAAAGGGTCATCCATGTTGCAGCATGTATCACAATCTCATTTCTTTTTTTTATGATTTATTTATTTATTTATTTATTTATTTTAATTTTTAGAGAGGGGAAGGGAGAGAGAAAGAGAAAGAGAGAAACATCGATGTGTGGTTGCCTCTCACGTAGCCTGCAACCCAGGCATGTGCCCTGACTGGGAATCGAACCTGCGATGCTTTGGTTCGCAGCCCGCGCTCAGTCCACTGAGCTACGCCAAACCAGGGCTCTCATTTCTTTTTAAGTCTAAGAGTCCATTGTATATGGCCATGCCATATTTTGTTTA